TACAGAAAGAAATATGCAAACAAATAAAAAAAATAGAATGCAAAGCTTTGGAGGGATGTATAGGAAATTGCTTAAAGGGGTGCCTGGGTGGCTCAACCAGTTAAGCTTCTGCCTTTGGCTCAGGTCATCATCCTGGGGTCCTGGGATCAAGACCCGTAATTGGGCTTCTTGCTCAGCGGAGTCTGCTTCTCCCTCTGCCTCTGCTACTCTCTCTCCCTCCCTCCCTTCCTATCAAATAAATAAATAAAATCTTTAAAAAAATTGCTTATGGATAAATAGTATTAATCTGAGAAATCTTCCCCAAAGAGAAATGTGACGGTTATAAAGGCCAGAACTCGAGGGAGGGTGAATCAAGGAGTAGGAATGAAACTATAAGTTGAGTTAGAGAACAGGAGCAGGTTTGCTTGGTTGGAGAGGTTAAGGTATTCAGACTGAAGAACGGAGTCTGGAAGCTAAGATTGGAGGTCTCAAGTTCCAGCTCCTGACCATGCTCCCCTCCAAACCCCCAATCACCTTGCTGTTGTACTGCTTGCCGTAGGTCTTTTTCCATAGCTCCCACTGGGTGTCCAGTATCTCCTCAGGATATAGAGCAAAGCTTGCCATGGGCAGCAGCAGAAGAAACTTGAGCCCCCACATCCTGAAGAAGGGGATAGTTAGGGGAGATTTTGTTTGCCAAGGGGTTAATAGCCTGGCTTGGGATGAGGAAATAGCTGGAGCTATATTCCCAGACAGGTGGTTCTTAACCTTTGGGAGTCACAAACTCTTTTGAGAAGCTAATAAAATTTTGTAATCCATCATAGTCCCACTCATCTGAAAAATGTACACACTCACAATAATTCTGGGGAATTCATGAACCCAAAGATAAGAATGCCTTCCTTGGGACCATGATGCAAAGGAAAACAAGGATTTATAAAGAAGGAATACAAAGAATTGAGGGTGATTTGGATATGATAAAACAATGATAGAAGGGTCTGGGTTTGGACTGGGTGCTGATACACCTGGTTCCAAGTATTTTGACCTAGGGAGATCACACACACACACACACACACACACACACACACGCGCGCGCGCGCGCGCAGAAAACCAGAAATGGGGTAGAAAATGGACAATCAGAATGGACTCAGCACCTGTCTCCTCTAATGTCCCCTGCAGACTTGAAGGAGAGGGACAAGGTTGGAGGTTAGAGTGGGATTGGAAAATACACAAAGGAGAGATTTCCAGCTAAGTTTTGCTTCCTGACCATTTCTTCAATGCATTTACTCCCTACCCCAAATTCTGATACTTCCCAGATCTTGCCAGGAGAGGACTGGGAACAGCTGACAGTATTTCTTATTCTCTAGATGTTTACTGTCTCCTTAGTCTTACGCATTTCTTTCTCCTTTCTCTTCCTGCTCGCTCCTCAGGCAGGAAACTGCCCCTAATCTCAACCAGATGCTGTGGGCAGGAAAGTTTTTCTGTCTTTTCCTGACAACAAAAAACCTCTGTGATTGCCTCACAGGATGGAAAGCTTCAGAACTAAAGTTTGTTAGAATGTTAAGATAAAAAAGCAGGTTCTATGATCATTAAATGCACAGTTCTTCAGAAGTTTACTCTAGCTTCACTCATTTCTTACAGTGGCTTAATTCTGTGTTTTCCATTTTAAGAACAATTTACAGTCTGAAGTAAGTTATACAGCTTGCATTTTTGAATTTACAGTCCCATTTTTGTATAAGCTTTGCAGACTGGCAAAACATTCAACAAGACATTTAATATCTGGAGTGTTAAGGGCTTTGAGACAGTAGAAAAGCACCTCGGGGCACCAGTCCTCCTCCCTGCTAGTAAGTTAACCCTTCGGTAACTTTGGCCAAAACAGAAAACCCTACAAGGAGAGGCTACTCTGTAAGGGATGGGCAAAGGAATCCCTATATCCTTAGCTTTCACTAACAACTATGTATACATAAATAAAAATCATAGCAGGAATCCTAAAGATTTCCAGGCAAATTTGGCCAGGAAATGACCTAAGATAGGCATATTGTTTTCACCTACAAAACCTACAAATCTCAACCATATCCCCAAGCCTTTACATCCCTAATACCTCTAAAATGGAGAAAGGGAGGGAAGAGAAACTAAAAGATCTAGCAAGTAGAAAATGTTACCTGCTGATAGGAATCTGCTCTGGGCTCCGTTCGCTGGGGAGTGTAGATATGTGGGCGGATGACTAGGGGTGCTGGATTTATTCCATCAGGATTGCGGAAGTCAGTTTCAGCTGTGGGCTGGAAAATTTGAATAGAGGAGGGAGGCGGGGACAGAAATGCTGAGAGGAGCAGGGTTGGGGAGGGAAGGAGGCAGTGGATTTGCAATGTTTCTGTGTCCGTGTAGTGTGTGCGCGCCAGGGTGGAAAGTTGCTAGGTATTTAGTTTTACGTGACTGTCTTTGAGAGCAAACAAAAAAAGACTTCAATACACATTACACAATTTGGGGCTTACCTTCACTTTGATGGTTAATAAGACACAGTCCCGGTCTCCCCCATCCTTCTTTATTATATAGTATTTATTATATTGGGGATTACATCTTCTCCTGTCCTTTTCCTGTTATCACCCATCCCTCCAACTTTGAAACCTTAGTTTTCAAATTTGTGTCTGACCCTCACAGCAAGGATGAGGGAATAAATAAAAAAGACTAGAAAAGAATATGTAGGAAGCCAAAGGCTCCAAAATGACTTGTAGTTTATAAGCTTGTTGGCTAAAAGTTGTCAGTAGCTCTCCCAGCCTAATATGATGCTGCTGAGGAAGGATATGCCTAGGAAGTCCAGATGAAACTGGCTCTGAAAGTAACAAAAAAACCTATCACTCCTAGTTATTAATGACTTTACTTGAATCAGTGCCATTAAACGCTGACAAACTCACATGTGACTTCTTTGTTGCTAAAATTCTCAGATGGTGGGATGCCTGATGAACATTATCTGTTTCAATTATTAAAATCCCTGATCCAAGACCAGTCATGTGAGCTTCTCCAAATAATTCCCCCAACATCCAGGCATGTGACAGATCATAAGAGTCTAGTTCAGTACCTAAACCACATCCCCAAACTCCCATTTTCTTCCTTAAACAGAGATGGGGGAAGAGGAAAAGATAGTCCGTGGAATAGAAAAGATAATACTTAGGACAGATTCAGTTTCTAGCTGGATTGCATACACAAATCCTCAAGAACACATGTTTATGCCTGTAAGTTTTAAGATTTGCTAATGAACCATATGGTCCTAGAGGGAAACCAAGTCCAGACCTGAATAGTTTAAATTTCCCCATCCCTAATTCCTTTTAATCCAGGAGAGCAAGGCATACTGGAGGGAAGGAATCTGATGTGCCAGGCAGATCTCAAGTCTGCTCTGGAGGACTTGGGCAATTCCCCAACCCCATCTCATGGTCAGATGTCCCTGCTGATTTTACTCAGAATGAGTCAGGATCAGGAGGACACTCAAGGAGTGCTGAGTGATCAGAGCCCTATGATTTCTGAATCCTGAAATTACAAACACACTGTGCTTTATGTTTGCATATTTGGAGTTCAAGTTATGGATTCAACTAGTTGTGGGTATTTGTTGTTTATAAGCTGGAAAGGAATAATAAAGCCGCAATCAAGATCACACGACACAAGAAAGTTTACAAAAGGAAAAAATATTTTGTTTTAAAATCTTTGCTACATGTCATTATTTTTGCCACTGTAAAGCTCAGCACAGATGCCAGCAGTACAGAAATGGCCAACAAGAAAAAAACAAAACAATCAAAAAATAAAACCCTGAAGGAAAAGCAGAAACAAAACCCCTAGAGCATCTTCTTCCTCCCCTCTCCTTCCCCAAAAGCCCTGTAATAGCTGTACAGTATCATAGTCCTGATCACATTTAAAAAGTCAATTATTAAAAAACAAGGACTCCATTGGAAACTCAACTTTTTGGTTTCTTAAATTGTGATATAAATATATATGTATATGGTATGTGTGCACATAGAATAAAAAAATAAACTGTCTCCTTTTCAACTCCACTACCTGGCACCAGACTGGAGACAAAAGGGAGAAAAACCCAGTAATGATGCTTTCTTAGCCTCTCTAAGGCCATCTGTGCTCCTCAGTCTCCTATGGCTATGTTTAGTATGTCTTCTCCTTATTTAATTCAGTCTTGCACTTAAGATACTGGCCTGAGCCAATCAAAAAAAAAAAAAAAAGGCTGATACACATGACTGTTACCTGAGGAAGGTAAAGAATGAGAACAATAACTGGTATCTGCATTTTATATGGCTATAGTTAACTCAGTGACCCTGTCAGAATGGGAGTCCAGGTCCCATCTATCCCATGGATTTAATGATAAAGCAAAATCCAATCTTCAGATTGGAGGGAGCAAAAAGGAAGAACGTATATACGTCCAGAAAAGACTTAAGTCTCAGTTTCTAGCCAGACTGAATTGAGAATGGGATGAAAGAGGCTACTTTGCAAGAAGGCTTGGTATTTGGTTTGAACTCCAGCAGTGAAGATTTCACTGGGACTGCTAATCCAAGAAGTTGAGTTTCCGTGCAGAAATAACCTCTACAGAACACACATCATATGTGATTCTGACAGAAAAATGCAGCAAGTATGGCCAAGTATGGGGTTTTTTGAAAGGGGTTTATCTTCCCACCCTAAACACCTGTAATGTTTGCTGATCTTCCATATAAGGTGAGAGCACCAAAAGTGGGAATGACCCAGCTTTATCACTAAATATGTTCGATGAGAGACCAATCATATCAACAGAAGACTTTATATATTTGCTTACAGTTGCATACTGGCTGGGCACAGATATAAGTGCAGCAAAGACATTTATTTAAATACTCTTTGGCTGCAATACTAAGTGGATAATACCTAGGAGATTTAACTCCTTAGGACTCTTTGAAGAATACACAGAAAAAAAAGATAAAATCTGGGACAAATTTTGCATAACTCCCTAATAGGGAGAAACAAACAGAGAAACATACGTGTGCACATACATGCACACACACACACACACACACACACTCTCTCTCTCTCTCTCTCTCTTCTCTCTCTCTCTCTCTCTCCTTTTCTCCCTCTCTCACTTCCTCACTCACCAGGCAGCAGAAAGAGCCTACGCTCACTTCCTGAAGCCCTATATATACCTATCATGCTTCATTGTCCTCAAATATGAGGACATTCCTCCTTTCCCCCACCTTATTCAGAATTTCTTTCCAAAAACAAGCCACAGTATCCAAGGCAAATAGTGGATGTCAGGTTCTCTAACCTGCCTCTTGACCCTAGCACAATCATTTCTGCACAAATCTCTGGTCACGAGACATAAGGAAAGGCATTCTTAACTTCACCCAGCCTCAGTTTTTCGAAGTATCCCCAAAGCCTTCAGGATTCACCCCATTTCTCCTATAAATGTTATCTCAGAGGCAGAAGGGCAAGGAAAGACCAGAAGGGGCAGGGGATACACATTAGGGGTGAGGGAAGGGAAGGGAGAGGGACTTTTATTCTCTTTACAGAAAGATTTGCTTTTTAAAAACAAACAGTGATTTTTCTCCCCCACCCCATATCCTCACCCCAATAGTTCTATTCTGAAAAGGAGGGAAACATAGTTAGGTCAGGAAATTCTTCATTGTTGTAGCTGTTGCTCTGGTCTCCCAGCATGGACAGCATCTCCTGGTAAGAGAAACAGAGCAAATCTAGTCACAACCTTAATCCCTCACATTTATCAAGCTTCTTCCCAACATTCCCCTAAAGCATCACCCCTGACCCCACAGAGCTGCGGGGCTGAGCTCCCTGAGCCTTCCCTACTCCCAGGAACTCTCCGACTCCTTTAGATAATAATATTGGTTCTTAGTCCCTTCTCTGGCTTCCTCCTACAGTTCCACATTTTCCCTCTTTTCTAGTTTTCCATTATTTTCAAAAGGAGAAAAATCTGCTTGCCACATTTTCAAAAGGAGAAAAATCTGCTTGCCCCTATGAACATATATGGAGTATCTCTTACCCCATTTGTTTTCCACCAAAACCTGTTTTGCCTTCTTTCAACAAGCTCTTCTTTTGTCCTAAGATTACTCTATGTGTTCTTTCAGTCCCCTCAGGACTTAGACAAATGGGCCTTTATAGGTACAAGCAGTATGTTTATACCCAAGCTACTGTGCAGTGGGAATGTGGCTCTCCTTGAATGGGACAGAGTGACTTCCTTTAACTTCTTTGCATGGTGCTTCACATCACTAACAATGGTCTGGTTAAAGGCTGTGCATCACACAGTAAGTTCCAGTTAATGACATCTATCCATATACATCCCCACTCTGGCTTCTCCCACATACTCCCAAATACCTCAGTCCATATGCATACTTCTTTCTCTGTTTCTGCTCCCTGACCCTTTCTCCTCCAGTTTCTGATTTTTTGAAGTCTTTTCACCCTCTCACCTGGAAGACCTCAGGCTGCCCAGGTTGCTGTGCTGATGGCTGTTGGACATGTTGTTCATTAGAACTCGACCGATGATGAGGCTGCTGCCCCTGCCACTGTGGCCAGACGCCTACACCCTCTGCTGTCCGTGTCTGGAATTGTCCTGTAGTCTGTCCAGTCTCAGGAGCTAGAAATACAGAAAGGACAACCAACCTTAAGCCATTAACTCCACTGGCGAGGACAAACTAGCACACAGATACTTTCTGCTCTTCTGTTAATCAATGCCTCGTCTACTTCAAAACCTAGCCCCAAATTAATTCTTCTCTGAGTAGCCTTTCCAAAAAGAGTCCTTTGATCGTTTAGATTAAATTTGCTCATTATTTAATATATAACTTACATACTTTTACATACGGGCTAAAGTCTTCCTCATGTGGGTACATTTTAAATTCCAAATGGACTGTCACTGCACCCAGGACCCAAGAAAACTGTTTTAACTACCAAATCCTTTCTCTTTAGTGGTGTCATTTTCCAGTTTACCCTCCTTTCACATCTGAAACTTACTGAAGCTGGATCCACGACTGGTGAGACTAGGGTAGGCAGCAGCACCAGGTGATGCACTAGAAGCACCAGGAAGGGACATGGAGCTGAAGGAGGACGGAGTCTGAAAGTTGCCCACACCAAACTGGGAAGAACGAGTCTTGGCTGTAGCCTGAGTAGCCACCTGCTGAAAGACAGGAAGGGATTGAGAACAAATGGAACATTAACATTATTGCACATGCCATTCCTATAAGTCAACTTTCTGTCAATGACTGGATTCTTTTGAGCCAAGCTCATCACTTACTTCCTAATCTGTATTTCTTCTAATTAATGCCAATTTCCTTTGACACTACTTTTAGGCAGGTATGACAAAGTGAAAAGAGCAAAGAACTATCTCATACACTGAAAGTTGTGAGAATTTTTCCAGTTTTTATTTTCCTATACATTTCTTATGCAACTGAGATCATACTGCATATAACAATTTTGGAGTCTGCTTTTTGGTTTGGGCTTTCTTACTGAAAATATTGCTGTGCAATATAAGCATATATTAATATATGAAAGAATATTAGCTTTAAGTTTATCATATATATTATATGAGACTCTTAAACACTTTTTAAAAATAAATAGACATCACTGTGTATAAATTATAATTAATTTTCTCCTTTATTCCTTTACTTTCTAGTACAAAATGGAAACTCAGAACTGACTCCTAAATAAATCTATTAATCAAATCTGTTTAACATGTTCTGTGTGAACAATTCTGAATAAAAGTGAGTATGTGAAAACCACAGACTCTGCAATTTAGGGATTATCTATATTTTTAATTATCTAGCTATTTCCAACAAAAAGAAAAATTGGAAGGTAGGGGGTGGGATCGGGGAGAAGTTATCTAAGAAAGATGACAATAATTTTACATATGGAAAAAAGCCTAACTAACCAAAGAAAAACTAGTACACAGGGGACAGACAGAGGAGATGCTTTTACCTGAGCAGAGAAGCCTGGGCGGGTGCTAGGGGTCCAAGCTGGGGCTGCTCCCTGCGGGGCATTGGAGTGACGGGAAATCTGGGCCAACATCTGCCCTGCAGAAGCTGATGGCTGGATGATGGTTACAGGAGGGGCCAGACCACTACTTCTAGGAGTGAACAAATAGTGCAGTAAAAGATTAAAAGGATGGGTTTACTACAAAATCTAGGAATCACAGGACAATCTACTGCTATTACTAGGTCCCCTTTATTTCCCTGGGGTTAAGGAGAAGTTGATAACAAAATTTGGAAAAGATGAGAAAAACTGACAGTCACACACCAATCAGGACACACAGAGATGGAACCTATAACATAGCAACAGGACAGGTGCAAAGAAATAGGAGGAAGAAAAGCAGCTTGCCTCATCTTAAGCCCTACAAATTCTACTGCTTTGTCTAAAATAACCAGAGAAAGCTAGGGAAGAATAAAACTTGGAATTAGCAACTGAATGCCTCAGTTGCCCCATAAACCAGCACATACATAAGGGGCTCACCTGAAATTCTCTGCCGGCCGGGGGGTAGGAGGGAATGTGTTGCCCTGTGAGAATAGCTGTTGGGTGGCAGGGACAGTGCTGGAGGAGATGCCTTTACTCTGATCTGTGGACCAAAAGGAGTGGGGGGAGGGCCAGTCAAGGGGCTGTAGTACATTAGTTCGGCAAGTTCCTATTTACTCATGAGGTATTATGATTAAGTGGGAAGATGTCAGGCAGCAGCAGGCACATCAGTAAGTGATTGGAATGAGAATTTAAAAGGAGAATGAGGAAGAAACACACCCGTATTGATGTTGGAGTAGATTTCGGAAAATCTTGGATCTCTATCCTGGGCAAACAGACCATCTGTCTTCTCGAGGGGCTTGCTGTGTTCTGGCCCTGTGGTTGTCACAGGCTGAACAGAAATGTGTGGAATACAATGATAAAAATAACCATGAAAGATTTAACATGGCAATTCAATAACCCTAACATTCACATAAAGATGCACATACAATCTAACTGGCACTGGGGGACATTTCTTAAGGAAATGATCACAGTCTTCTTCAAAGACAACGACACCACTTACCTGGGAATGACTGTAGCCAGCCAATCCATCTCTTGCTGATACCACATCCAGTTCTGTTTGCTGTTGCTGCTGCCTATATATTAAAGGCCAGTGAGGAGAGAAAGAATTTTTTTTTTTTAAATGTGGGCAAAGGGCTTAAACCAACAAATAAATAAACCAACAAATGCGACTGCAGATGCCCACTCTCTGGACCACTGATCATTTACGAGTCTTCTACCATTTCTTACCTGGATGCCAACTGCCCTGAGCCCATCTCCAGGGGTAAATTAGCTGTGGGACCTAGCTGTGGTCTCTGGATTGTGTTTGACAGTGTAGGCCTTGGTTCCTGGCTGGAGTTCCTGAGAAAACAGAGAGCAGACAGAGCAGAGAAGAAAAAAAGGATCTGACACTGCACATAAACCTGTACAGATTCACTTATAAGTGAGGCAATAACTAATAAATTCCCTTTTGAAGTTTAATCCTTTAAGTAACTTCAATTCAGCAGCTATTTCATACCACGGGCGACAAGGTACAAACAAAAACTATGTCCTGTAGCACAAGGGCTTATCCTGTTTGGGTTCTAATTTCTTTTAGGTATTCGATACCTAACTGGTATATATGAGTTTATCTGTATATTGTGGTTTTTTAAAAGCATAAGTTAAAAAACTGACAGTACATATGCAAACATTAACAAAGACTCTTTTTGGATAGTGAAAAGTTTTTTCCTTCTTACTTTTTCATACTTTCCAAGTTTCTGAAAAAAGTGTTTATCTAAAAATTTTAAGAATTAAACTGGTAGGGAAAACAGTATGTAAAAATAGGGAACACTATTATTTCCAAAAACAAGTTCTTTTTTTTTTTTTTTTAAAGATTTATTTATTTGAGAGAGAGAGTGAGAGAGAGAACACGAGCATGAGATGGGGGAGGATCAGAGGGAGAAGCAGACTCCCTGTCAAGCAGGAAGCCCGATGCAGGACTCGATTTTGAGACTCCAGGATCATAACCTGAGGCGAAGGCAGTTGCTTAACCAACTGAGCCACCCAGGTGCCCTCAAAACAAGTTCTTAAAAGTACTTAAAATTTCAAAATTTAAACAAAATGGAAACACAATACTAGTTATTCTGTAATATAAAGATACAAAAACGAAAAGAAACCCTAGGAAACTACAGTGACCACAACCATATACCTGCGTCCTAAGTAAATACAATTACTAACTCAATCCACTCTGCTATACTAATCAGATAAGAAATTAAACTTTAAAGTCCTAAGAGAAGGAGGACACAGACTCAATGTTGTCACCAGGTATTATTTATACTTGATAATAATTTCTACACAGATCTTCAAGAGCTGGGCTCAGGGCCAATTCTATATAGATGGATTAAATGGAAAAGTAACCTGACAACTGACATCCACTGGGATTGTATATTAAAAAAAGTAAGAATATGGAGAAACTGGAACCCTCGTTACACTGCTAATGGAAGTGTAAAAGGATACTGAAGCTTTGGAAAATAGTTTGGCAGTTTCTCAAAGTTACCATGTGACCCAGCAATTCCACTCCTAGGTATATCCAACAGAATAAAAACATATCCACATCAAACTAGTATATAAATGTTCATAGCTGCATTCTAAATAGTCAAAAACTAGAAATAACCCAATGCCCATCAACTAAAGAATGGATAAAATGTATCCCAGTACAAAGGAATATTATTTGGCAATTAAAAAAAAAGTACAAATAAATGCTACAACACAGATGACCCTTAAACATTATATGAAGCAGAAAAGGTCAGTTATAAGGAATCATGTATTGCTATGATTCCATTCATAAGAAATGTCCAGAACACACAAATTTAAAGAGACAGAAACTAGATTAGTTGTCATATAGGACTTGGGGAATGGGGAGGATGACTGTTAATGAGTACAGAATTTTTTAGGGGAAATGATCATGTACTGAGATTAGATTGTACAACTCTGTGACATACTAAAAAACTGTACACTTTAAATGGGTGTACTTCATGGCATGTGCAATCTATTGCAAAAACTGGTTTTCACCAAGTTGAGAAAGAAAAGCTCAAGCAGAAAGGAATCAAGGAATAAAAACTAACAAGAGTGGATGTAGCTATGGTCTAACGTAAACTAAGGTCCATGGGCCAAATCCAGTCTACTGCCTGTTTTCGTAAATAAAAGTTTGTTGGAACATAGCCATCTTTGTTCATTTCATTTGCTAGGACTCTTTTCACGCTATAATAGCAGAGCTGGATAATTCAGTAGAGACCATATGCCCCACAAAGCTAAGATAATTACTATCTGGCCTTTTACAAAAAGAAGTCTGCAGACACCTGCTCTAGATGAAAATCCTACCAGAACAGAGCAATAAACTGGTATTTAAATCAGTATCGTTTCTAGAAAGGGTTGAAGCATAAAACTGAAACACACACCGTTCACATCTCAGAACTTACTCTCTGAAGTACTATTTGTTAAAACTCTTATTCTACCTGGATGAACTACCCCAAATCCTATAGTAAGTTGGAAGATGAGGAACTTCAGACTAATGGCTTACTACCACAAAAGTAGTAAAGCAGAAAAGCAGGAGACAGCTTGATAAAGCTAAGCAGACTTGGCCCATGAGACATCCCAACCTTGGAAAAGGCCTTTATGGTACATACTTCACATTGGTGTTGGTACAGATGATGTACTCAATTTCATCTGAGTAAGGGTTCTGGAAAGTAAAGGAGCTGGTTCTCATCCAGAGCCACTCTCGGTTCTTAGACCGGAACCGGAACATGACAGACAGCACCTGGCCTTTTAATTTCACCACCTGAAAAAATTTTCATGCTATCAGTGAAACCCACAAAAAACTTTCTTTAGAATTTTTTTTTTTAAATTTCCCATTTCTACAAACCTAAGATTTGTGTGATACTGTCCTTGAAGTACCAGTCTCTTTCAAGGTTACTGATGAAACAACATGTGGAATGAAAGCTAAGTGCTAAATAATAAGGAGATATACTTATTTTTCTTCCCAGAGTCCCAAGCAGCTATCTGATCACTCTAGTCAAAGTCAAACAGGAGTAACAATTTTTTTCCAGGAAAATAAAGACTGTTTCCCCACTTCTCGTGGAAAATCCCTTAAAGATATGTGGCTCTAGCTTTACAAGTCTATTGTAGAAATTTGTAGTTTGATACTGAATAGTTTACATGTTGCTCCTCAATCCTAGGTTTTCCCCCCAAACCTTGAGAATTTGTTTTCACAGCAGCCATGGAAGTTTCTATGAATAAAAATAAGTTGGCTTTAGCCTTGTTTTGTTTGTTTGTTTTTTTTGGTTTTTTTTTTTTTTTTAGATTTATTTATTTATTTATTTGACAGAGAGAGATCACAAGCAGGCAGGGAGGCAGGCAGAGAGAGGAGGAAGCAGGCTCTCCGCAGAGCAGAGAGCCTGATGTGGGGCTCGATCCCAGGACGCTGGGATCATGACCTGAGCCGAAGGCAGAGGCTTTAACCCACTGAGCCACCCAGGCGCCCTTGTTTCTGTTTTTTAAAATAAAATAATTTTAGATTATTTTAGTTTCTAGTCTTATGAAATAGAAAATTATCTTTTGAACCTCCCTCCCTAACAATAAATAAGATTAGTAGCTAACATTTATTTTATAGTTATTATATGTCAAGCACTGGGCTACATTGTTTTTCAATTTTTTTTTTAAAGAACATCAACATTTATTTAACATGATAAAAAAAATGAGGTATGAACATTTAAACAATATTAAACAGCCTTTAATTCTTACATGTGCTCACTGTGAAATATATACAGAATGAATATAATTACATTTGTACATAACTAAGTACTGGATTTGAAACCTGCTTACTAAGGTATATATCTATTCCAGTGAAGTATATGCTTCAAAATACCTAGCCTTTATAAGATTTTTTTTTTTTAACAAAAAGTGGTAACATTTGTGTTTAAGTGTGGAAATAACTGCTGACATTAAAGCGGACTGAGAATTACAGAAGAAAATGAGACATACTTCACTTAGCAATAAAATGGCACATTTTATACACACACACACATAAACACACACACACACTTTTCACAAATCAAGTGTGACACACAGCACTGCAGTAACCAAAATGGAGAAAAAAGGAAAACAAGGTTTGTTGGAAATAACTAAATTTATTACTGAAAGAGAAATATAAATCCAACTAGACTTAAGAAATACCAAAATCAGGAAATCAGCAGCTAAGTAAGTAGTTGGAGACCCTCCATTTAAAAGCACCTTTATCTAAGTACCCTAAAATCATAGCGGCAACTAATGTCAAAATAGTAACCTCAAGATTATGTAGAGTATACAGGAGTCATTAAAGCTGTTTTGCAATAAACATTTTCCAGAAGTGATAAAATGATACTCTGTGACCAGAAATTCTAAGGTTAGGAATTTCAAGAATTTAAAATACACTGTACAATATCTTCTCCCACTGCTGAAGGTCCATGTCCTTAGTTCTGAATGGATTCAACAGAAGTCAGAATAGTTTTTCAGAACGGTTTTTCTGAGCCTACACAAACACAAAATGTGATTTTTCTGCGAGCTGCAGCTGAATGCATGGAACTGGTAATGCTGAAGTTCCAGGAGACAGAGAGACATCTTACTGCCATCATCTGATTTTCTCCAGACATTGGGTTATTTGCTTTAAATGCATTATCTTAATCTTCCCAATATCCCTCTGTTAAGTACTGTTATTATATTTAAATATATAATCTTCAGAATCTGAAAATAACAGAGTCAGTTTATTTTTGGCCTTTTGGCTAAAATCAAGTGTAGTATCTGTTCCTATCAGTTTAATATATGACACGTCCTCTATCTGAGGACAATATATTAAATGGATTTTTGGAGCAGGGAGATGGAATAGGAGATTGCTTCTCATCCATGCCACGCATCGACCTGGTATTACAATAGCTCCAGGAATGGGGCACTCCCTCAGGGGGAATACTTAGGTGCCTAAAGCCAGCTCGAGCTGCAGGGGCAACCTGTGTGCACTGGAATGTCTCTGCCTCCAAGTGAATGCCTGAGCAGATGGCTTGTATCTGGCCTCCTGTGGGGGGAGGTGTGTGTATGTATATAAATATATGTACCATGGTTCTTTTACACTGTACGAGGAGCATGAATGGAAGTATGATTATGCCAATGGTAGAAAGAGTTTTTGTTCATTTCTCCTTTCTTTTTGTTTCTGTCTTCAGTAATTTCCTCTCCAAGGTTTTGCTTTCTTGTACTTAAGTTGACTACTTTCTGAGTTTCTTAGGAAGATTTATTTAAAAAAAAAAAAAAAAAAAAAGAGTTTATAATTATTAACTCTTGCCTTTTGGCTTCCGGAGCAGTGCCATGCAGGATGGCAAGAACAAGCACCCAACAAAAGAGAGCAAAAAGGAAGCCAAGAAGTGACTGATCCATTTTCTAAGAAAAACAGGCACGATGTGAAAGCACCTATTTTTCAATATAAGAAAATATTTGAAAATCACTAATCATGAGAACTCAATGAACCAAAATCACATCTGATGGCCTCAGGATCGTGTTTTTGAAGTGAGCCTTGCTGACCTGCAGAATGATGAAGCTGCACTTAGAAAACTCAATCTAATTACTGAGGATGTTCAGGGCAAAAACTGCGTAATTTCCATGGCATGGATCTTACCCGTGACAAAATGTGCTCTATGGTCAAAAAATGGCAAACAATGACTGAAACTCATGGTAATGTTAAGACTACCAATGGTTACTTGCTTTGCCTATTTTGTGTTGGTTTTAACAGAATTTTTTTTAAAGATTTATTTATTTGAGAGACAGAGTGCGTGCATGCATGCATGCAGGGTGGCAGGGATGGGGAGCAGCAGAGGGAGAGAGAGAATCTCAAGGAGACTCCCAGCTGAGTGAGGAGCCCGACCTGGGGCTCGATCTCACAACTCTGAGATCATGACCTGAGCTGAAATCAAGAGTCGGGCGCTTAACCAAATAAACCACCCAGGCGCCCCTATTTTGTGTTGGTTTTACTAAAAAAGGCAACAATCAGATTCAGAAGACCTCCTATGCTCAATATCAACAGGTCTGCCGAATTTGGAAAATGATGATGGAAATCATGACCTGAGAGGTGAAGACAAATGACTTGAAAAAAATGGTCAATAAGCTGATTCCAGATAGCATCAGAAAAGACACAGAAAAAGCTTGCCAATCTGTTTGTCCACTGCACGATGTCTTTGTAACAAAAGGAAAAATGCTGAAGAAGCCCAAGTTTGAACTAGGAAAACTCATGGAGCTTCACAGTGAAGGTATTAGTTCTGGAAAAGCCACTGGGGATAAGACTAGTTCTAAAGCTGAATGAGCTGATGGATATGAGCTACAGCCCAAGAATCTGTTTAAAATTCACATTTAATAAATAAAAATCTTATTCGTTTAGAGTTAACTCTTAATGATCTATAAAAGAACCATGAGGGGCGCCTGCATGGCTAAGTTGTTAAGTGTCTGCCTTCGGCTCACGTCATGATCCCAGGGTCCTGGGATCCAGCCCTGTGTCAGGCTTCTTGCTCAGCGGGAAGCCTGCTTCTCCCTCTCCCATTCCCCCTGCGTGTGTTCCCTCTCTCGATGTCTCTCTGTCAAATAAATAAAATCTTTAAAAAAAAAAAAAAAAAAAAGAACCATGAAATGATTATTCCTACCACCACCCACAGTTCAGTGAGGCCTGGAATATTTTAAGCACTTTAGAGTCTCTTGGATACAGATAGCTGGATACAGGACAGTTGAGTAGCCAAAGCCAAAATACCTTGGATATTATCCATAGTTTCAAAACACTAGTCCTTTTCTGTTCCTTAAAGATACAGGTTTTGTTTTAAAGGACATAAGATTATGATGCCTGTCACAGTACTCAATCAGTGGTCAATAAATGTTTGAGGAATTAATATAACAAGTATTAGATTAAAATATTATTCAGATCCAACCATGGGGAAAAGTTACCTGTTGAAAGCTATCTCTTAGAAGCTGCTGGTCTTCAGGATGACAGAATTCTACAATATTTTTTCCTAAGAGTTCCTAGAAGTGAAAAAAGAGGAGTAAGATGGACACTTCTATGATATCTAACTTTCCTGGCCTATCAGCAAACGACTTAAATTTTATGTCCCCTGTGTTTAGCCTAGGGTTTATAGTAAGTGTGTGTGGGCGGGGGGGGGGGGACAGAAACAAAAGAATATAGAATCTGCTAAGCAAATGGCCTCTAGAACATTTCTGTTTTTCCAAACATTATATATTTATTTTAGCTGCATTTTTACACATTTGAGGTCTAATGTACACATAAATCCACTCATTCTAAATCTACAATTTGATGGCCTCTAACATATTTATACATTATTACCAAAAATCCAGTTTCAGAACATGTCCACTGCTCCCAAAGTTCTCTTTTGCCTGTTTGTAGTCAACATCTGCTCCCAACCTCCTAGTCAACCAGTGACCTCCCTTCTGCTTTAGTGTTGTCTTTCTAGAAATGTCATATGGAATCATATAATATGTAGTCTACTGGGTCTGATTTCTTACATGTAACTTAAGATTTTTGGAGCTCATCTATGTTGCTGCACATAGTAATAGTATATTCCATTTTATTACTCAGCAGTATTCTAACATTGATATTTCACAGTTGTGTATCCATTCACTAGTTAATGGACATTTCCAATTTTCCCACTTTGGGGTTACTGTGAATAATACAACTATGAACACTTGTATATAAATCTTTATGTGAACAAAGGTTTCATTTCCCTTGAGTAAATGCTTAGGCGTAGAACTGCTAGATTATAGGATTATGTATACATTTAACTTTTTACAATTTACAAAACTCTTTTTCCGTTTTTCCAAAATGTCTTTCTGAAGTGGCTATCCCATCTTACAGGTCTGCCAACAATGTCTAACAGTTACAATTTCTCCCCATTCTTACAACACTTTTTGATAATAGTGGACATATAGTGGTATCTCACTGTGCACATTCTAGTGGGCATACAATGGTATCTCATTGTGGTTTTAATTTGCACTTTCCTACTGACTGATGATGACAAGCATCTTTCTTTTTTTTTTTTTAAGATTTTAAATAATCTCTACAACCAACATGGGTTTGAACCTACAACTCCAAGATCAAGGGTCACATGTTCCATCAACTGAGCCAGCCAGGCGCCCCATGATGAGTATCTTTTTATATGCCATTCATGTTTCTTCTTTGGTGAAATGTCTATTCAGATCTTGTGCCCTTTTTATCTTATCTTTTATCTTATCTTTTTGTCTGTTTATCTTAATCAGTTGTAAGACTTCTTTTGTATATTCTGGATACAAATCCTTTTTCAGGTATATGGTTTGCAACATTTTTTCCCCATTTGTGGATGATATTTTTACTTTCTTAATGATGTCCTGTTAAGAGGGTAAATTTTAATTCTCATGAAATCCAACTTAGAGTTTTTTCTTTTGTGAACCATGCTTCTGCTGTCATAGAAGAAAACTTTGTCTAACTCAAGATCACAAAGATAATCTCCTATGTTCTTCTAGAAGTTTTATAACTTTAGCTCTTGTGCATTTATGTTTTTGAGTTGATCTCTGTCTGTGGTGTAAGTAAGAGTCTATGACCTTTGTGTGTGGGGAAATAACCAACTTTGCCATCACCATTGTTGGAAAGAATCTTTTCTCCACTGAATTATCCTGACACCTTTGTTGAAAATCAGTTGACCATAAATGTGAAGAGACTATATTCTGTTCTATTGATCTGTATATCTATCCCTATACAGATATCACACTACCTTGATGACAAAAGCTTTATAACAGGTGTTTAATCAAGTCCTGTAAATCCTTCAACTTTATTCTTTTTCAAGACCTCTTTTTTGCCAACTTCTTCACAGAGCCATAGCCAGAAGTCTCTCCTGGTCATACAGTTTTGAAGGGTTCTATAATGATTTATTGCTCAACTCTGGTATAGCTACCTGCTCTGCTGAATGAGAAATCTCAGTAAAATCATAATAACCAGGGCCAAACTTGCATATTTTGTGGGTTACTATGTACCTAAGTGATTACATAAATCATTTAACGATGGTCATACCATTACAACTAATTAAAATGAACTCTCCTGCATTATTATCTGTATTAATATCAACAACAAAAAATAAATACATATCCATGCCCACTGTTCCCATGTGAGAGCAGCCATATTTTTCTAGATTGGATGAATAACATTGGTAGAAACCTGAGAATAAGTTAAGCTACAGTTAGAATAGGTTCATCTCTTTTTCTGATCTGGGCCTGATATGTTTTGGCTCTTCTGGAATACATGACTGAATAATCGCAACAAAACCAAGGGAAAACAGGCTTTAGTATCAATGGTTTAACAGCTCCAGTTCTTCACCTGTGGTTGGTAGCCAACAGTAGCCACACAGCGGTGATCCACAAAAGTGAAGATTCCCTCAATGTTGTGCCGAGAGATGAACTCTGTTGGTTGACAAACATTACTCATATCTGTACAGTTGGGAGAACTAGTTACCTGAAAGTAAAGAGATAAAAACAAGATAAAATGACACCATTCTTTTTTTTTTTTTTTAAGATTTTTATTTATTTGACAAAGAGAGAGCACAAGCAGGGGCCGCAGCAGAGGAAGAGGGAGAAGCAGGCTCCTTGCCGAGCTGGGAGCCTGATGCGGTACTTGATCCTAGGACCCTGGGATCATGGCCTGAGCTGAAAGCAGAGGCTTAACCATGTGAGCCACACAGGCACCCCGATACCATTCTTTACAGATACATTTCCCATCTCCTCATGGTCACATATATAGACACGACTCTTCCAATTTTAGAAATTTCTGAGCTTCCATATCTCATCCAAACAGGAAAAAAATGACAATCACAATCAGAGAGGGTAAGAGGGCCAGTTCCACTCCCACATATGTATCCTATATCAACTTTGTGAAAAAATTAAAATTCATTCAACCCAAAACTCACCTACTTTCATTTAGCTAGGCTGTATTTGATTAGAAAATTAGTCCCCAGTAACCAAGAAACTTATCTAGTTTTATGAAAAGAAAATTCCACTTTTCTAGTCATATAACAGTAAAATAAAAAGGGGCGCCTGGGTGGCTCAGTGGGTTAAGCCTCTGCCTTTGGCTTAGGTCATGATCTCAGGGTCCTGGGATCGAGTCCTGCATCGGGCTCTCTGCTGCGCAGGGAGTCTGCTTCCTCCTCTCTCTCTCTCTGCCTACTGGTGATCTCTCTCTGTCAAATAAATAAATAAAATCTTTTTAAAAAAATGCAACAGTGATCCGAAGGGGCACGTGCACCCGAATGTTTATAGCAGCAATGTCTACAATAGCCAAACTATGGAAAGAACCTAGATATCCATCAACAGACAAATGGATAAAGATGTGGTATATATACACAATGGAATACTATGCAGCCATCAAAAGAAATGAAATCTTGCCATTTGCGACGACGTGGATGGAACTAGAGGCTATCATGCTTAGCGAAATAAATCAACTGGAGAAAGACAACTATCATATGATCTCCCTGATATGAGGGAGAGGAGATGCAACACGGGGAGTTAAGGGGGTAGGAGAAGAGTAAATGAAACAAGATGGGATTGGGAGGGAGACAAACCATAAGTGACTCTTAATCTCACAAAACAAACTGAGGGTTGATGAGGGGAGGGGGATTGGGGGGGGTGGGATTATGGACACTGGGGAGGGTATGTGCTATGGTGAGTGCTGTGAAGTATGTAAACCTGGCGATTCACAGACCTGTACCCCTGGGGATAAAAATATATTATATGTTTATAAAAAATAAAATTTAAAAAAAAAGCAACAAATTATTATAAATAAATAAATAAATAAATAAAATAAAAAGATCTCCCTTCTCCTGCAATGCCTGGGTAGCTCAATCAGTTAAGCGTCTGCCTTTGGCTCGAGTCGCGATCCTAGATTCCTGGGACCGAGTCCCACATCAGGCTCCTTGCTTGGCAGAGAACTTGCTTCTTCCTCTGCCTGCTGCTCCCCCTGCTTGTGCTCTCTCTCTCCCTCTCTCTCTCTCTGATAATAAACAAAATCTTTAAAAAACAGATCTCTCTTCTTCTGTGTAGAAGCAGAAGAAATTAATTAGAAAGAGAAAATTCAGCACTATGAAGTTCACAGTGTGAAAGATAAGGGGGAAAGATCTCCCTCTTTCTCTCATTCTTTTCAACTTCTGCTATCCAAGAAGAGAAGCAAACATGAATGCTATGTTCTTCCCAAAATCTGGGGTTTCACAGAACTCATTTGTATTTAGAGAGTAAAAGAAAAATAACATGAACAAGTCCTGAAGGAGAGTTCTTCTCACTGAAAAGGAATGATATGGGACTTCCAGGGAAGATGGTGGAGTAGGTAAACCCTAAACTTACCTCGTCCCATAGATACAACCAGATAACAGCTGCATCAGTGTAAATAACCCAGAAAAGGAACCAAAGACTTAGAGAACAAACTCTCTACAGCTAAATGTAGAGAAGAAGCCACACTGAATAGAGTAGGAAGACTAAATGGATACACTAAAAGGACCCGTGGACTGTCCACAGGAAGGAAGAACTCAGTGGGCACAGAGAAGGGAGAGAAACAGACTATCACACCAGGGAGACCCCACGGGGAAGACAAATCCCAATAACGTTTGGTTTGAAACCAGAGGGGCTGAATTTCAAGAATTGCTTACCAACAGCAGGGCTTAAAACCTGGGCTCATGGGAAAGCTGGGAGGGCAAGAGGAAACCAAGTCCCCACCCTTAAAGAGAGAGCACAACAAACAGCCCCATGGAGATACAGTACAGAAGCAGCACTCTGAAAAACACCCGGGGTATAAAGGAGGGAGATTTGTTTACTAATTTCAGAGCATGTGCTGGAGAGGCAGGGATCACTGGAAAATTCCTCCAGTACTAAAGGAGCTGGCTAGTGCCATTTCCCTCCCTTCCCCACTCCCCCTTAGCACAAACACACTGACATCTACAGGAGCCAGTGTGATACCAACACTCAGTACTTCACTTGTTAACAGCATGCCCCACTCATGCATACACCTGTGGGCATACCCCCGCTAGCCAGCCTGCAACACCAGGTCTCCTCCTGTAGCAGACCCCTGCAAACCTTGCTAACATCATGCACCCCACCCCTATGCATTCAGAGCTACTTATATCTGGAAAATGCCTGGTCTGACTCAACTTAAGCCCATAGCAGCCCAAGACTGGCCCACTACAATGATCCAATACAAGGACCAAACCCTGCCCACAATAGACAAAGAGAGCCATTGCAGACGACTGGACTAAAGGCAAAAGCTGCTCGGTCACAATAGCAAGGCACACATAACATACATATGAGACACCCCTGGAGCACTACATTCTGATGAACAGGGGACGTGGCACTATAGGTCACTACTCTCAAGAGCAGGAGCTGTACCTGAATTTCCTAACACAAAGAAACAAAGAGTTAGACAAAATGAGGACACAGAGGAATATGCTCCAAATGAAATAACAGGACAAAATCACAGCAAGAGACGGAAACAAAACAGAGATAAGTAATACACCTGATGTAGACTTTAAAGTATAGAGGACTTGAGAAGAGAATGAAGGACCTCAGTGAGACCCTTAACAGAGACAGGAAAACATAAAAGAACCAATCAGAGATTAAAAAAAAAAAAAAAAAACCCAAAAACTCAGTAACTAAAATTAAAAAACAGGGTGCCTGGGTGGCTTAGTCATTGGGCATCTGCCTTTGGCTCAGGTCATGGTCCCAGGGTCCTGGGATCGAGCCCCACATCACTGGACTCCCTGCTCAGCCGGAGGCCTGCTTCTCCCTCTCCCACTCCCTCTGCTTGTGTTCCTGCTCTTGCCATTTCTCTTTGTCAAATAAATGGATAAATCTTAAAAAATCAAATTAAATTCAAAATACACTAGATGGAATGAATAGTAGACTAGAGGAAACAAAAGAACAGATCAGCAAGCTGGAGGACAGAATGATGGGAAGCAATCAAGCCTACTTGAGAGTGAGGGAGAGAAGGAACGATACAAAAATGAAAACAGACTTAGGGAACTCAGTGATGCCAGCAAGCATAAGAAAATTCAATTATAGGGATTCTAGGAGAAGAAAGGGGAAAAGGGGGCAGAAAATTTATTTGAATAAGGAATAGCGGACAATTTCCCCAATCTGGGGAAGGAAACAGAAATCCAGATCCAGAAGGCACAGAGAGTCCCCAACAAAATCAACCTAGGGAGGTCTACTCCAAGACATACAATAATGAAACTGGTAAAAAGAAGAGATAAAGAGAGAATTTTAAAAGCAGAAAGAGGGGTGCCTGTGTGGCTCAGTGGTTAAGCGTCTGCCTTCAGCTCAGGTCATGATCCCGGGGTCCTGGCATCGAGCCCCTAATTGGGCTCCATGCTTCTCTCTCCCCCACTCCCCCACTTGTGTTCCCTCTCACTGTCTCTCTCTCTGTCAAATAAATAAATAAAATCTTTAAAAAAAAAATAAGTAAATGAAAGCAAAAAGAAGAATGAAACAGTTACATACAAGGGAAAACCTTAAGGTAATCAGTAGATTTCTCAGAAGAAACTTTGCAGGACAGAAGGGGTAGCATGATATATTCAAAGTGCTGAAAGAAGAAAGCCTGCGGCCAAGCATGCTCTATCCAGCAAGGCTATTATTCACAACAGAAGGACAGATAAAGTTTCCCAGACAAGCAAGAGTTATAGAAATTCATGACCACTAAACCAGCCCTGTAAGAAATGTTAAAGGAACTCTTTGAGACAGTAAGTAGGAGTAAGAAAAGTAGGAAAAACAAAACCAGCAAAATGAAGTATGTTTATAAATATTAGTCAAGGAATTCACAAAATAAAAGGATGCTAAGTATGACACCAATATACCTAAAACGTGAAGAGAAGAGGAATAAAGAATGAGTTCAAACGTAAGTGACCATCAATAAACTGCCATACGCTTAAGATGTTATACACAAACCTAAAAGTAACCACAAATTAAACCAGTAATAGGTACGCAAAAAGTAAAGAGAAAGATGGGATGCCTCAGTGGCTCAGTCAGTTAAGCATCTGCCTTCAGCCCAGGTTATGATCCCAGGGTCTTAGGACTGAGCCCTGCATGGGACTCCCTGTTCCACAGGGAGTTTGCTTCTCCCTCTCCCTCTGCCCCTGCTTGTATTCTCTCTCTTGCATATGACACCCGGGGCTCATCACAAGTGCCCTCCTTAACAACCATCACTCATTTGACTCAACCCCCCACCTAAGAGTACACTTCTGATGAGCACTGAGTAATGTGTAGTCATCTTGAATCAACGGGCACCTGGATGGCTCAGTTGGTTAAGCGTCTCTTGATTTCAGCTCAGGTCATATCTAAGATGTGAGATCAAGCCCCACACTGGGCTCCGTGCTGGGTATAGAGCACCCAGCTTAAGATTCTCTCTCTCCCTCTGCCCTTTCACCCCACATCCGTCTCTCTCTTAAAAAAAAAATAAATAAAAAGAATTGCTAAATCACTATACTGTACACCTCATATAACTAATATGCTAATAAATCAATATGACACCATATGTTAACTACACTAGAATTAAAATTTTAAAAAATGTATAAGAAGATTTTTAAAAAGAAAGGAAGAAAAGAAAGTAGATGATATAGATGTGGAAAATTCATACTTGCCTGCAGTCTGCCAATGGCCACTAGGCAAAATTTGCTCCCTTGGCCTGCCTCTGGATCATCATCTGGGAGGGAGACACCTTCAGGAAGGTGAAATTAAAAGGTTTAAGAGGGATCTCAAACTCAACTGCCTTCAATTCAGATAGAAAAAGATTTAAAATACATGTAGGTATAAAGAGACTAGGTATAAAATAACAGAGTGCTGAATGATAATAAGGGCAAACAACTGCACAGAACTTACCATATATGCCAGATACTGTTTAAAGTATTTTTACATATATTAATTCATATATTTTACCCATATTAATTGTAATAAGCTATAGAGTACAAGTCCCACTCAAAGTATTCTAAAACACTGTACTGGTCAAACCAAACATATGGAGACAGTCATTTATTCTAGGACTATACCGTAGGCAGGCAACAGATGTCTTGCCCAACTTGTGTTTTAAAATAAGCAAACAACTAAAAATGAAATTAAACCAACATCAAAAGCTAGTTACTTATGTCCTTTGGAAAAGAGAGAAGCCAAAGTTTCAATGTTTTATGTGGAAAGGGAAGAAGGCTGCATTTTCTCTCTAGTCTTTGCATATATATTGTCTTTTTACCAAGAAAAAATATTATTTGAGAGCAATACAGAAGTATAAAAGAGCATGTATAATATGGCAAATGTATGGTTTATTCAGTATATAAACTAAAAGGCTCAAATGTCACTATACTTAAAATTAATTTTTCTGAATTACATTTAATTACCATTTATTGAGTGCATATATATGCCAGGCATTGGGCTAAGTGCTTTTCTTACATTAACTCTAATCTTCAAAATAACTCTACATGGGATATATTACCTCCAAATTATAGATGAGAAAACTGAGGGGTTCTTTTTATACAGGTCAAATGTCTTACCCTAAGTTATACCATTAGTAAGTAACAATGCCAGAATCAAAACCCAGGTTTTTTTTAATACAAAGTTTAATTTCTTCCCCAAATATACCACCTTGCCTCCTTCTCTCTTAGTTTCCCTCTCCCTACAACCCCATTTCCCCATTACACCCATCTAGCAGCAAAGTAATAAAGTTGCTAAGATCTGGAAATTCTGACAAACCAGTTTAAAAGGCTGATTCCTGCACCCAACCACTCTTCTCACATTTTCTATTTGACTTCAAGTTCTAGCTAAGCTAATGTGCTCACATCTTGATTTAAGGCCTTTAAAGAGAATATCCCACTTATAAATTACTACTTTTAAGTCATTTCCCTCTTCTCCCTCAAAGTCATGCTTCTACTTTAAAAAGCTTTCCCAAATTAACTGCACTCAATGCCAACTGTTTCTTTGCACAAAAAAACTTAGAAAATTAGTAATCAGTATATATTATTATAAATCTGCATGTTGAAAAATTGCATTCTGTGATACTGCCAACACTGAATCATTTTCAAGTCTGAGTAATCCATCTCCCCAGCTGGAATATACAGGAGGGGCAGGAGCCTGCTTTTTCTTTGTTATTTTCTTACAGTTTATACCACAGTACATTTCGCATACCGGGTACATGATAAATGTTAGCTAACTCAGACTCTGTGACAAACCTGCTGCACCATGGGAGAAATCCAACTTTCCTACCTGCTGGGGGCCAGGCCTTGATGTAGCCTGTGCAGTGGACCACCACAAAGTGAGGTTCCCCATCCTTCACAGAGCCAAGTCCATTCCTAGAAGAAGTACATGTGTGAGGAGAAAACCCTACCCAGTAACATTTAAAAGGCAATGCTGGCTTAGTACCTTCAACTTTAGGCTCTTGGATGTTTAGAAAACTGGTCACTTTTTGACCTCTCCCACCCAAAAGTGACCACCATATTTCTGCCAAAGTAAAGAAACAGAAAGGTACTGTAGCAGAAAGAAAGTTGGTAAAGTGGTAGGGCAACTTCTTCAAACAAGATGAGCAAAGGAAGCTGTAAAAGTTTAGGAAAATACTGCCCCCCGCCCAAAAAAATTAACTGGAAAGTGAAGGATGAGGGTGAGGGCTGTTGAAAGAAGTACTATACTAAGATGGCTGAAAAAGTGATGATCTCTACAGGTACTTGGCCATCCCTTTGGTTTTTCATTGTCCAGGACCTCACCTGCATCTGTTCCTCACAAAGCTCAATCTATTCATGGAGACTGGGTCCACTGAGCTACTGCCACACCTGTTTCGAAGAATGGAGAGATTAAAAGCAATTAAGCTGTGCTATTAAAGAACTTTCCATCCATTAACAGCCAGAAAGGGGCTCTGGATTAGACACAGAAGGATAAAGAAGTCAGGCTTGATATTTCTAAAACTGTCCAGAATTTGAAGTTCAAAATATTCCACATAATCTTCAAATGCAGACATTCTCTACATTGTGGTCAGTATACTTTTTGTGTAAAGGACCAGATGCTAAATATTTCAGCTTTTGTGGGTCATACAATCTGTTGCAATGAGCCATCAGAGCATGAAAACAGCCATAGACAACACATAAATAAATGCACATTGCTATGTTCCTATAAAGCTTTATTTACAAATACAAATATTTACAAATATTTACAACCACAAACAAAGAGTTGTGGTTTGCAGATTCCTGTTCTATACCACAACCCAATCTATTTGCCACATTTCTTTATTATTTATCTTGCTCTTGCCTATGTCTCTACATAGGTCGTGTCCACATATTGGGACATTCTCCCACCCTCTCTACCTTCCTTATCTCATTTCTTTAAAATAATGGCTAAAACTTACCCAGAGTTTAATATATACTGTACACTATTCTAAGCATCTTTACAAATATTTATTACCTCATGCTTTTAACAACTTTGTGAGGTTCACAATTCCCAATATTAGACAAAATCACAACACAAAGTAGTCATGTAATCAGCTCAAGGTCTCAGAAAATAGTAGGTAGTAGTCCAGGTTCAGAAGTTACTCTAGGGGCGCCTGGGTGGCTCAGTGGGTTAAGCCTCTGCCTTCGGCTCAGGTCATGATCTCAGGGTCCTGGCATCGAGCCCCGCATGGGGCTCTCTGCTCAGCAGGGAGCCTGCTTCCCCGCTCTCTCTCTGCCTGCCTCTCTGCCTACTTGTGATCTCTCTCTCTCTCTGTCAAATAAATAAATAAAATATTAAAAAAAAAAAAAGAAGTTACTCTAAATCAGTAAGCCATATAATATTAAATTCTGTAACTCTCTCAGGAAACCTTTCTTAATGTCCTACTCATCATTTCTAATAAGCATCCTCTCAGTGCAATGTAGGCAATTTCCACTGTACAACCTGAACTTATTTTGTGACTTTAAGAGGTATCTTTTCTGCCTGTATAGAATGTACCACCATACCTTCTTCAGAATACTAAAAAAGTGTAATTTATAATTATAAACACTAAATACTAATTGAAAGATGTAAGAAAGTATCAACACTGTGAAAAAAAGAAAAATGCAGAAATGTTCTGAGTAGGTGGATGCTGTCTTGTGATATACTGGGAAAAAATACAACTACTCTGGATTAAAATACTACTCTGGATTAAATCCAACTACTCTGGATTAAAATAAAATCCTATGCCAGACATTACCTATGTAATCCTGGGAAGTTAATTTTGAAACTTTTTTTAACAGCCGAATAGTAACCATGAACTCAACCCCAAAGAACAGATGTGGGAAATGTGATGATAGCAAGTCTCTTATAGTATGTGGCATAGGAGTTCATTAAACTTTAGTTCCCTTATCAAACACTTTATTCTGTTATAATTCATGTGGGTCTTGACAGTTCAATTTAATCCAACTAGAGCTCAGATTTAAAAGGTTAACTCCCGGGGTGCTTGGGTGGCTCAGTGGGTTAAAGCCTCTGCTTTCACCTCAGGTCATGATCCCAGGGTCCTGATATCGAGCCCCACATCGGGCTCTCTGCTCAGCAGGGAGCCTGCTTCCGCCTCTCTCTCTCTGCCTGTCTGCCTGTGATCTCTGTCAAATAAATAAATAAAATCTTTAAAAAAAAAAAAAAAAAAGGTTAACTCCTCTAACCAGAAATCAAACACCCTGCTCTTAATTTTTCTTAAGTCAAATCACAGTCCTCAGCCTGACACTCACCTCATACGGCAAATAAATGATCTCCTTGAGCCCATACACATCCTCATGGATGACTGTTGACCTTCCTTTTTCACTGTTCCAGTCTTCAGATCAAGGATACGCCCTGAAAAATGATGTGGAAAACAGTCTGGACTGTGTTCTTGTATGTGGTGAAAAGGGGAAAGGAGAGACACTGGAGGCCAAGATATATAAGTATCCTGTTCATGCCCTCCAATCTCCTTGCTTATAAAAGAACAGGCCAAGTAGGGGAAGGATTTTTTTCAAGTCCAAAATACCTCAACCTCCATCAATGAATGTTATTCTTAAATTCAAAGGCAGCACTGGAGATAACCTTGTGTAAGGAAGGAAGCTGGGAGTGGAAAGTAGTGTTGGCAAGTAAGAGGCCAGGCTATATTCTTGGATCTCATTTTTTTTTTTTTTAAGATTTTATTTATTTATTTGACAGACGGAGATCACAAGTAGGCGGAGAAGCAGGCAGAGAGAGAGGAGGAAGCAGGCTCCCTGCTGAGCAGAGAGCCCGATGCAGGGCTCAATCCCAGGACCCTGAGATCATGACCTGAGCCGAAGGCAGAGGCTTTAACCCACTGAGCCACCCAGGCGCCCCTTGGATCTCATTTTTATACACGTGCACATACACATATGTACACACAATGCACACTGAGGGAATGTCATTGTTTAAAAACAAATAATTTCATATGCTATAGTAACACAATACCCATCTCCAGCCAAAACTGTTCCTCCCTTTATTATATAGAAACTAATGGCAAGGGTGTCTGGGTGGCTCTGAAGCATCTGCCTTTAGCTTAGGTCATGATCCCAGGGTCCTAGGATCAAGGTCCTCATCAGGCTCCCTGCTCAGTGGAGAGCCTGCTTCTACCTCCCTCTGCTGCTCCCCCTGCTGTGTGCTTTGTCAAAGAAATAAATAAAATCTTTATAAAAAAAAAAAGAAAGAAAGAAACGAATGGCAACTTTTGGGAAAAGAACTAGAAACATGAAATCCATAAAGACCTAAAAGAAGGGAAAACTAAAACACAATTAATAAAGGCAAAATCTTGCCATTTGCAATGACATGGATGAAATTAGATGGGGTTATGCTAAGCGAAATAAGTCAGAGAAAGACAGTCATCATATGATCTCACTCATATGTGGAATTTAAGAAACAAAACAGGATCATAAGGAAAGATAGGAAAAAAATAAAACGACAAAATCAGAGAGGGAGACAAACCATAAGACAATCACAGGAAACAAACTGAGGGTTGCTGGAGGCGGGGGAAGGGATGGGGTAACTGGGTGATGGACATTAAGAATGGCAGTGAGGGACGTTTGGGTGGCTCAGTTCTTAAGCATCTGCCTTCGGCTCCAGTCATGATCCCAGGGTCCTGGGATTGAGCCCTGCCATCAGGCTCCCTGCTTGGTGGGAAGCCTGCTTCTCCCTCTCCCACTGTCCCTGCTTGTGTTCCCTCTCTCACTGTGTCTCTCTCTGTCAAATAAATAAATAAAATCTTAAAAAAAAAAAAAAAGAAGGGCAGTGATATGAGCACTGGGCATTGAAAACTGATGAATCATTGACCTAGAGGTAGACCTCTGAAACCAGTAATACATCATGTTAATTAATTGAATTTAATTAATTAATGGACTTTCTTATATTTAGTTACCAGTTTTTAGAAGATTTAGCTTATTTATTTGAGAGAGAGGGAGAGAAGGCGTGCACATAGAGCCCGATGCAGGGCTCAATCCCAGGACCCTGAGATCATGACCTGAGCCGAAGGCAGAGGCTTTAACCCACTGAGCCACCCAGGCGCCCCTTGGATCTCATTTTTATACACGTGCACATACACATATGTACACACAATGCACACTGAGGGAATGTCATTGTTTAAAAACAAATAATTTCATATGCTATAGTAACACAATACCCATCTCCAGCCAAAACTGTTCCTCCCTTTATTATATAGAAACTAATGGCAAGGGTGTCTGGGTGGCTCTGAAGCATCTGCCTTTAGCTTAGGTCATGATCCCAGGGTCCTAGGATCAAGGTCCTCATCAGGCTCCCTGCTCAGTGGAGAGCCTGCTTCTACCTCCCTCTGCTGCTCCCCCTGCTGTGTGCTTTGTCAAAGAAATAAATAAAATCTTTATAAAAAAAAAAAGAAAGAAAGAAACGAATGGCAACTTTTGGGAAAAGAACTAGAAACATGAAATCCATAAAGACCTAAAAGAAGGGAAAACTAAAACACAATTAATAAAGGCAAAATCTTGCCATTTGCAATGACATGGATGAAATTAGATGGGGTTATGCTAAGCGAAATAAGTCAGAGAAAGACAGTCATCATATGATCTCACTCATATGTGGAATTTAAGAAACAAAACAGGATCATAAGGAAAGATAGGAAAAAAATAAAACGACAAAATCAGAGAGGGAGACAAACCATAAGACAATCACAGGAAACAAACTGAGGGTTGCTGGAGGCGGGGGAAGGGATGGGGTAACTGGGTGATGGACATTAAGAATGGCAGTGAGGGACGTTTGGGTGGCTCAGTTCTTAAGCATCTGCCTTCGGCTCCAGTCATGATCCCAGGGTCCTGGGATTGAGCCCTGCCATCAGGCTCCCTGCTTGGTGGGAAGCCTGCTTCTCCCTCTCCCACTGTCCCTGCTTGTGTTCCCTCTCTCACTGTGTCTCTCTCTGTCAAATAAATAAATAAAATCTTAAAAAAAAAAAAAAGAAGGGCAGTGATATGAGCACTGGGCATTGAAAACTGATGAATCATTGACCTAGAGGTAGACCTCTGAAACCAGTAATACATCATGTTAATTAATTGAATTTAATTAATTAATGGACTTTCTTATATTTAGTTACCAGTTTTTAGAAGATTTAGCTTATTTATTTGAGAGAGAGGGAGAGAAGGCGTGCACATATGTGTGTGTGTGTGTGTGTGTGTGTGTGTGTGTGTGTGTGTGTGTGTGTATGCACGCGTACACAGCGAGACACAGAAGGAGGACACAGAGAATCTCAAACAGATTCCGGCTTAGCATGGAGCCTGACACGGAGCTCAATTCCAAAACTCTAAAATCACAACCAGAGTCAAAACCAAGAGTTGGGACACTCAACCAACTGAATCACCCAGGCCCCCCTTAATTACCAGTTTTGATCTGCTTTCACTTTAAAATTTTTTTTCCAGAGTTGCTTAAGAAGCAGATGTGTTTCCTCTAGCCAAACTCTGGCAAAAGTACTGAATAGCATTAAAATAGGGGGAAGGGAAAAAAAAAAAAAGAAAGAAAGAAAGAAAAATAAGACAAAAAAATAGTATAGATACAAAAAAAAACCCACAACAGTAACAACAACTTATATACTGATAGAGGCGCCTGGGTGGCTCAGTCGTTAAGCGTCTGCCTTGGGCTCAGGTCATGCTCCCAGGTCCTGGCATGGAGCCCCAAATCATCGGGCTCCCTGCTCAGTGGGAAGCCAGCTTCTCCCTCTCCCACTCCCCTGGCTTTGTGTTCCCTCTCTTGCTATGTCTCTGTCAAATAAATAAATAAAATCGTAAAAAAAAACCTTGTATACTGATAACCACTCCCCTGTAAAATAAATATCTATTAAATAGAATCCAGTATTAAAGCCAAAGATATGCAGAAACAGGTAGGAAAAAATACCAGGTAATTACCCATACAAATTAGACAGAAACATGGATAAATCTTTTAGAATGGGAAAAATTAATTCATTGTAGATTTGGTTTTTACTGTTTTACTTACAGTAATAAATTTTTATATGCATGCTGTCATAAAAAAATTTTCTAAGAATAACTACAAATTATATTATCTGCATGTGGATAGAAAAAAATGATTATATTCATTTTGGGAGAATATTCTAGAAGCCCTGCCAGAGTTAATGAATAAAGTGAAGACCTAAAACACCTCTTCTGTTTCAGGGAAAAAAAAAGGGCTTCCCATTCATTTTCCATCCACATAATTCATACCTGTCAGGGCATTTTCCGAGGTGGAAAGCTGCTCACGAAGTTTGTCCACATCATCTGGATGCACCTGATCATAGAGTGTGCTACCAAACCATTCAGACTGTGGCTGGTTCAAAACTGGGGTCACTGAGTCAGAGACATAAACCACCCGGCCTGTCTCACATGAGACAATAAACAGAAAGCCATCTGCTGCCTCCAAGATCAAATGTTTGAGTTCCTGCCCAAGGAAGAGAAATAAAAGTTAATACTGAACTCTTAAAAGCCAAGTATTATTCATGGAAACAAGTAAGACATTTCAGGCCTTATGCACGTCTCCATAAGCAATTGCTGGCTCCTGCCTGATCCACAGCCCCAGCTATGCACGCTAAATGTAACTGCCTTCATGATAGTTTTTTTTTAATAGATATTTCTTCAATCTCTCTATGTCACTATTCACCTCTTCCCCTTTATCTCAGGACTCAAGATGGGGAATAAAAAAGTTTCCCATTAACAAAATTTAGTCCTTGATCTTACACCCTTTGGTCTCTTTTTAGGATCTTGCTCTACAAATACTCCCATTTTCACTCTCTCTCCCCTCAGATCTATAAATATGATCAGGTTTTCTCACTTGTATACAAATCTTCCCTCCATTTTTGCCCAACTCATCTCTATTTCAGTGCCAAGTTTATATTAAGAGTAATGTTATATTCACTGGTTCTATTCTCTTACCTTTCACATATTCCTCAATCCCACTATAATTGTTATTCTAAACCATTCATGTTGTTTGTAGCAGGTTAACAGTATTATCCTGACTGCCAAGTCAAGCCCCCTTTCCTGGGTCTTTATTATGTTACTCTATCTCTCTCCAGAATCTGGTAATGTTGTCCATTCCATCCTTTTAAGTTTTATTTTCCTCTAGCTTCTACGACACCATCCCCCAATTTTGCTGCCCTTCTAAATGCCCCTTCTCTGCTTCAGCCACCCTTCCCTTTGTTCAAGTCTTAAGTATAGATATTTCCAAGGTTCTATCTTAAGTTCTCTTCTCTATTTATACCATACTCTCTGAGAAATTATACGTACTTCTTCCTGCTATGAAATGATGCCCAAGTCTGTATCTCTAGACTCCCCTAATCTTTTTTTTCTTTAGCTTTAAGCAGACCTAAATTCCAACCAACTCTTAAACATTTCCAATTTAGACATTCTACCAGCAACTCAATTTCAACATCTCAAAACCAGTCGGTCATATTTCCCCCCTCCAAAAAACAATCCTCTGGTTCTTCTAGCATTTCCTTTCTTGATTAACAGTATCACCTTCCTCTCAGGCTACAAGGCTCAAAATCTAATTACTCTGTCTCATGCTCCAGTGATAACTGTTTTATCAATTCTATTTCCAATACTAGATCATCGTCCTAGTCATTTTATACCAAGACAAAGGAAATGGTCTCCTTGCATTCATTCTCCCAAATCCAGGCTTAAAATGCTCTACATCAACTAACACAATTTTGAGGGAGAGAGATGGGAGAGGGGCAGAAGAGAAGGAGAATTCCAAGTAGACTCCATGCCCAGCACAAAGCCCAACTAGGGGCTCAATCTCATGACTCTGAGACCCCGACCTGAGCCAAAATCAAGAGTCGGACACTTAAACTGATTGAGCCACCCAGGCACCCTAATGCCTAAAAATTAATATCTAAATTCTGTAACATAACACCTAAGTATTCCATGATCAGATCCCAGCCTACTTCCCTATTATCATCTCCCAAGGCTTGCTAAACTATTTCATTTGCCTTGAATAATCCAATCATTCTCACTAGGTATTTGCTCAAATTATTCGCAATATTTACGACACTAATCCCTTACCTTGTCCATGTTTATACTTCTACAGGACTTTAATACTGCACCTCTATGACAGAACTAATTGTGTGCTTATACTGTGTTTATTTATTAACGTGTCTCTTTCCACTAGTGACTATCTCCTATCTCTGTTCTTCTCATAGCACAAAGCATCTGGTTAGCCCGCAAAAGGTGCATAAACTAGAGCCTGTTCAATCAGTATTTCTATGTATATTGTTAGATTAACTGATTAACTATTTCAAAGTACATACATATAAAATCCATGCTATGTGTGTTTTCATATAGACACTCCTATTTGGAAAATTCTTATTGCTTTTTTCTGAACCACATTCCCTTCCTTCTACTCCTCTGAATAAAAAGGTGACATTATAGGTCAATTTTTTCTTCCTTATATTTCCTGTATCTTCTGAATTTTTCTGCATTAACCATGTGTTATTTTTAATAATCAAAACAGAACATGTCTTTCTTACTCTTAGAAGTCTTTGCTAACCATCCCCACTCAAACCTGGTCATTCTATTCACATTAGCCATCCCTCCACTATATATTTATCTAGTCCCATATAAATTACTAAGTTTCATTTTAAGATTTTATTTATTTACTTGACAGACAGAGATCACAAATAGGCAGAGAGGCAGGCAGAGAGAGAGAGAGAGAGAGAGAGAGAGAGGAGGAAACAGGCTCTCTGCTGAGCAGAGAGCCTGATGTGAGGCTCGATCCCAGAACTCTGCGATCATGACCTGAGCCAAAGGCAGAGGCTTTAACCCACTGAACCACCCACGTGCCCCTAAAATTAGTAAGTTTTAAAGAAAGGCTATTTCTCAGGGTGCCTGCATGGCTCTGTCAGTTGAATGTACAACTACTGGTTTCAGCTCATGTCATGATTTCAAGGGTCAGGAGATCCAGCCCCACAATGGGCTCCAGCTCAGTGAGGAGTCTGCTTGAGATTCTCTCCTTCTCCTTCTGCCCCTCCCCCCACTCATATTCTCTCTCTCTCTCTCTCTCTCTAAAATAAATTTTAAAAATCATTTTAAAAAGGTTATTTCTTCTCTGTATGCATTTTCCTCTCATTTTTCACTTGTGTGTATCCAGTCACTCGAAAATTCATATTCAGACTGATTTCCACTCACTCACGTATTCATATTCAGATTAAGTTCTTGAGAAGCTAGAAATGTTTTTGCCTTCCCTATTTTTCTCATTACATGTAACAGAGCACATCTCTAAGGAACGATGACTGCCTTGTTAGACTCCTTCTATCACTAAAACTAAAAGCTGCTTCAGGAATAAGAAATCCATTTTTTCCATCTTCTATAACCCTAAAGGCAACAAAGAGAACTGTTTCCATAGGACACAGTCATCTCTTCTTCCTACAAGTCTACTCTTATTTCACCTTATAGGCTACATTCATGAGTGAAGTTTAAAATACATATAAGCTTTGGGGCACCTGGGTGGCTCAGTTAGTTAAGTGTCTGAATTCAGCTCAGGTAATGATCCCAGGTCCTGGAATTGAACTGCACTGGGGCTGGGGGGTGGGGGGGGGGTGGGGAGTAGAATCCCTGCTCAGTAGGGAGTCTGCTCTTCTTCCCACACCCTTCCCCGTTTGTGCACACAGGGTCTCTCCAAATAAATACAATCTTTTAAAAAATAAATAAAATAAAATACCTATAAGCTTGCTAAATAATTTGCACAAGTATTCTGCAATTCTCACTATTTGAATGCTAATGAATATTATAGCCAGGAATTGAAACTACGTTCCCACGGTGTGACTTTCTCCTTAACAACTGAATTCTTGTACTTTAAGCAATCTACAGACTCAACTTGGCTCTGTCTCTCAATATAAGGCACTAGTTAGAATTATGGTCATCTAGGGGCCTGGGTGACTCAGTCAGTTGAGTGTCTGCTTTCAGCTCAGGTCATTATCTTGGGATCCTGGGATTGAGCCCGGTGACAGGCTCTCTGCCTGGCGGGGAGTCTACTTTTCCCCCATCTCTGCCTGCCTCTCTGCCTACTTGTGACCTCTCTCTGTCAAATAAATAAATTAAAAAGAAAAAAGAATTATGGTCATATACCCCCAAAAGATTGAAATTTTTAAGATTCTAGATCTCAGATTTGTACATCCCAGAGACCTGATCAGTGAGGAAAGAAGGCTTGTAGGTGCCATCAGTGGATGTATTCCCAGTTCCTCGCAAGGATTTCATATGAGAGACTGCCATGCGTAAGATGGTTAGCTTGTCTGGCTTTCGAGCCAGGGCACTACAGGTGGGCACCATGTCTGACAGTTCTGTGATGTAGGCTGTCATCTTGTTCCGTCGCCGCCGTTCAATTTCACTATGATTTTCCCTGCGTGGAGAGAGAAGCCCCATCCAGTGGTCACATCTGGCCATTTGGGAGCAGGGAAGAGTGATATAAATACGGAGAAAGCTGCTAAAGAAATGTAGTTGTTTGATTTAGGAGGGCTTAAGTCTCGGAGGGTAGTGTCAAGTTTGCCAACATTCTCATGCAGAGCAAGCATGGAATAGAAACCAACAAGGCAGAGAATAACCAGATACCAGCAATTCTCCCTATGTCCTGGAAACCTCACTTTCTATGTAAATTACCACTCCCCCAAATAAAAGAAAAGAAAAAGTGTTTTAAGAAGTGATAGTCTTAAAAGATGTTGATTTTATTCACTTTAGTTCCCGAGAGACAAATAATCTTGGCTTGGCTGACTCCATGTTTACTAATTCAACTTTTAAGGCTGAAAATAAAATGACTAGTTTTTTCCAACCCAAGTATAGTGCCCCACAGCTGATAAAAGCACTGATAGTACACTTTCCTTTGGTCTATAAAATGTTGTCTGTTCCAAGCTTCTCTCTTAACACTAGAAGGAAGAACTGGAAGATTCTGAAGTTTTACTCATCTCACTAATAAAGTCCTACCTTCTCTATTTGGATGTGGTGCCAGTATACTGAGCTCAAGAGATTTTAAGATATCATCTAGCAGAGGTCACTTCTGGGTCCCCCACTGGAGCAAAATGAATTGGAAAATAAAAGTGGAGTGGGGAGGAAAAGTCCTGAAAACAGACAATTTGGATCTCAACAGGGTAAGTGGATCACATCTCCAGTGCTGATTTCCTCAATATCAGAACAAAATCTTATCATTATTAAAAATAATAATCCAGTAGTTTTCAAGCTGGATTTCTGAAAAGCCCCATAGTTCCTCAGTGTCTTTCGCAGGGATGCGCCAAAGACAGAACCAAACAATGTGCTGCATTTCTGCTTCTCCTTGAGCAGCTTTTGCTTTATCCTTTTTATTTGCTTCCATTACCACTTAAGGGTCCTACCGGAATAAAAGTTATTTGTCAAAAACAAAAAAGAAAAGTAAAAACAACTGGTCTAACATAAATCTATGAGAAGAGCAAACAAAGGTTAAGAAGTTAACTAAATGACTTTCCCAAAGGCAGCACTCATTCCCAATTAATGCAATGGTTTTCCCACCATACCATACAATATCAGCTTTCTGAAAAGTTAAAGAGTTAGCAGGAAATGACAACAAAATGAGTTTGTGGTCCTGCTGAAAACGGTAATGAGATGACGGGAGAAAGTAGTAAAAACACATATTGGTATCAATGATCTATCTCTCACTGAGTGGTCCCAAATCACAGAAGCCAGAAAACAGAAAAATTTGGGTATATCATTAGTATCCTAGTATTTCTACCTTAGTGACGACAGTCTCCAAAGAGAGCTCTAGAGTCTCCCTTCCAAATGGCAAAAAGGTCTTACCACATGAGTCCATATTTTAACATTCTACTTTCCCAAACTTAAAGCACCCATCTTCCTAGTATCTAACAGACCTCTGACACTAAAATCCAGAAGGCTGCTTTTTTTAAAAAGCCATATCATGGCTGCTAAAACTTTTCTGGGAAACCACAAAAGATTCAATCACCAAAGCAGGACCAGTACTGCTATAACACAGTAATCTAGCCTATGAGTCTACATAGGAAGATAAAGGGTATGCTTTCTAGAGAGGTATGGAATAAATGCTAAGGCCTAAATATTGGGAACCAACTGCAAACATAGATATATTTATTCGTCTTCTGATAAAAAAGTATGCCCCTGTTAAAACACCAACTGGCACCACTACCCTGCTTCTAAAGCCTTTTACTCTGTGAAACAGTGCTGAGATAAAGAAAGAAAGAGAAACTATAAAACTAATAGCAATTTCTTAAATTCCTTAGTAAATCCCTCAACTCACCCACTTTCTGATGGGGGAGGCCAAAGTTCCTGTTACACACAAACTTCTAAAAAATCTTGTCCTCTCTTGCCACAGATAAGGAAAAACACAAAAAGAAGGGGGGAAGAAAAGAGCAGAGTAAGAAAAAGGAAAAAGCAGCATCATCTGCTTCATGATGCTGAAAGACACTGTTCTCCTACCTGGCGAGTCTCTCTTTATCCGCAGAGCTCTGCTCATCATCCGACCTAAAAATAGAATTAATGAACTAAGCTAAAATTAAAATAAAAAGAAAGAAAAAAATAAAGATGGATGGATGGATAGACTGATGGAAGGAAGTAGAGAGGGGAAAGGAAAGAAAAAAGGAAATAGAACAAAATAGATGCAGAGAAGGGAAAATTAAAATATGGACAGGAATCTTGCTCATAACTTTACAAAGCCATTTGTTAGGATAAAGAAAAAGTAACTTACAGGACAAAGGTTGACATAAAATCAAGGCCAATATTCATTATAAATTAACGTAGTCTGAATACAGAAAGTATTTTGCCAATCAATCTCTGTAGAGACCAACAATATATAGTTTGAACAAGAACCAAACAAGAGAATACATTCTCACACATTGCTCCCAATCTGGAAATAAAGTAATACCCACATATGTTATTCTTTTTTTATTTTTTTAAGATTTATTTATTTGAGGTGGGGGGAAGATGCAAAGAGGGAGGAGGAGAATAGCACAGAGCCTGACACGGGGCTCGATCCCAGGACCCCGAGATCATGAATGAAGAGTTAGCCATTTAGCCAACTCAACCACCTAGGTGCCCCCACATATGCTATCCTATAATGAAAAAAAATCAAAGAGTAAATCATGATAAGAATGTCAAATTATCACAAATACAATCTCTCTGTAACATGCAGACACACAAATATGCACTCACAGACAACATAACCGAAATTACATAAATAAAACTTAAGAATTAGGTTTCTGGCACATCCCCTATCATTGGTTTGATACTGAAGTAGTAAATTTCTATTTATTCACTCTCCCATTTCTTTGCAGTAAAGCCCTAAAACTACTGGATCCCCAGTGCCAACTCCCCCTGCCCTGGAGGGGGCTACAAAGGATTACCACTAAATTTTTCTGGAAAACTGAAAACTATAAGAGTTGGTGGCAACTGAAGAAACATCAAGGTGTTGGTAGGCCAGTATGTCAGTATCAATTCCATTAAAAACAATATATATAGAGATATAAATATAGATTAAGAAGCCTCAAATGAAACATCTAAGTATGACATATGAACAGGCTAAAACACTAATATTTCATTATTAAAAGTGACATGTACAGGGGCACCCGAGTGGCGCAGTCAGTTAAGGGTCCAAATCTTGGTTTTGGCTCTGGTCACAATCTTAGGATGGTGAGATGGAGCCCAACAACAGGCTCTGTGCTTGGTGTGGAGACTGCTTAGAATTCATATTCTCTCTCTCTCCCCCCCTCTCTCTGCCCCCCTCCCACCTACCCTTCATCTCTTACAGGAATAAGTTGTTTGAAAGAAACTTAAATATCTAAAATTCCTATTATTACTACTCCTACTATTACAAATCCATAATCCTTTAACCACTCTAGTATCTCTAAGTGAAATACGTGAATGTCTAAATATTTATATTAAGTAGGACAAATAAAAACTAAAATAATTCAGGTCATGTCTTCATAGAGACTTTTTGGAATTTTAATCAAGAAACTGTTAACCGGGGTGCCTGGGTGGCTCAGTGGTTAAAGCCTCTGCCTTCGGCTCAGGTTATGATCCCAGGGTCCTGGGATCGAGTCCTGCATTCGGGCTCTCTGCTCAGCAGGGAGCCTGCCTCCTCCTCCTCTCTCTCTCTGCCTGCCTCTCTGCCTACTTGTGATCTGTCAAATAAATAAAAAAAAAAAAATCTTAAAAAAAAAAAAAAACTGTTAACCTGCATGACCAGTACTATCTATCTGATGACTTGACTGCCATTCTTCTTTTCTTTTTATTTTTTTAAAAATTTATTTATTTAAGTAATCTCAAAACCCAATGTGGGGCCTGAATTCAGGACCCTAAGAATAGGAGCTACATGTTCTACTGACTGAGCCAGCCAGGTGCCCATGACGCCTTGACTTTCCAGTGCAGCTTGAAAAACTATTCCCCAAATATCTATAATTAACTTCTCATTTTAGAGATGGTTTATACCCTAAAGTATTTATAAGTATCTATTTCAATAAATAAATTATTTGAAAATCTCTTAAATTCATTCCTTTCCTATTGCCATTGCCTCCACTCTATCCCAGGCACTCATGATTTGATAGCTATCTTCTTATTCACCTTTGCATCTATCTCCCTGACTATAGTGCTTCTCTTTAATCAATCTTATACACTGCTATTAGAGAAAATCCCATATGCATTTTATTTATTAAAATCTCTTATTCAGGGGCGCCTGGGTGGCTCAGTCATTGGGCATCTGCCTTTGGCTCAGGTCATGGTCCCAGGGTACTGGGATCAAGCCCCACATTGGGCTCCCTGCTCTGTGGGAAGCCTGCTTCTCCCTCCCCTACTCCCCTGCTTGTATTCCCTCTCTCGCTGTCTCTCTGTCAAATAAATAAATAAAATCTTTTAAAAATTAAATAAAATAAAATCTTTTATTCAAAGCCCATGATGGCATCTTACTGCTTCAGACAGTTATAAGCTACTATGACTGGTATTTCTCAGGCTTCTACATCAGTGGTTCTCAAAGTATAGTCCCCAGACTAGCAACATCCACAATAAATATAAGTACTCAGTTAAGCTCTGGATTTTTGATTATTCATTTTTCTAAGGTGGCTACAAACTCCATTTTTAAAAAACAAACTAACTTACTGTTTAAAATATACAGAATGAACTTTCAAAAAAAAATACTTTGCTTTTTATTTATAAATCCTCAACTTTGTACATCTGAGTTGAGAAGGATTTATAAATAAAAAGCAAAGCATTTTTCATAATCTTAATAAAATTTAAATAAATTTATTGCAATCAAAATTCATCTCCACGAAAATTGTTCCTGTTGTAATTTTTAAAGGAAAACTATTGTCTGTACAGAGTTTGTGGAACCATTTAATAATAAATGCAACCATTAAATCCAGAACTTGTGTTCCTGTGGACACCCAGCAAGCACACTGTATAGCTGCCTATCAAATACATAAAAACGTTGTGTAAATTGTGCCATTAGTTTGAAGCCATGTTACCTGAACATAAACAGTAACTGTCATACTAAATTTTGTCAGCTTTCAGAGTGTGAAAAAGACTGCACAGAGAAATTAACTCCTAATGAGATCAAATTAAACTCCATACGCCTGAGCTGCCTGGTCCCACAACACGGCCCAAGATGCTCTATTACATTACCTGGCAAACCGCTCCTTATCATTAGACATCTGATCATCATCACACCTAAAGAAGAAAAATAAGGTTAGCCCAAAGCATTATACTTGTTATATCTACTTCATCTGAAATGAAAACTAGAAAGGAGTAAAAATATTCAACAGGGGGGAAAAAAAAAGCCAATGGAAAAGCATCACAAAGCAAAAGAGATAGTAATACCATCCAAAAGAACTTAAGAAACCCATGACTATTATTTGTCAGGATTCTGATATTCTCCTTTACCCTTACTTATCAGACACTCCAAAAAAAAGGATGATGATCTCATGTGGGCACAGGTGACTGCCTGGTCAACACTACTCTGAGGTTAGGGATAGTTATGTTTTAATTATGGCAAAAAAACATGGAACACAAAATTTACCATCTTAACCAATTTTTAGAGTACAATTCAGTAGTGCTAACTGTATTTACATTGTTGTACAAGAGATGTATAGAACTTTCTAATCTTGCAAAACTGAAACTCTATATACACTAAACATCATCTTCCCACCTGCTCCCCACCTGACCCTCAGTTGCTAGTAACCATTACTGCACTTTCTGTCTCTAATTTTGACTACTTCAGATATCTCATGTAAGTGAGATCATATAGCCTTTCTGTGACTGGCTTATTTTACTTAGTATAATGTCCTCAACATTCATCCATGTTGTAGCACATGTCAGGATTTCCTTCCTTTTTAAGTCTGAACAATATTCCACTGGACATATATGCCACATTTTCTTTATGCATTCATCTGTCAATAGATATTTGGTTGCTTCCACCTCTTGGCTTTTGTGAAAATGAGGCAGTGCACATGAGTGTGCAAACATCTAAGACCCTGTTTTAATTATTTTGGATATTTATAACCAGAAGCGGGGTTGCTGAATCATATGGTGATTCTGTTTTTGATTTTTTGAGGAATCTCCATACTGTTTTCCAGAGTGGTTAAATTTACAATTTACATTCTAACCAATAGTGCACAAGGGTTCCCTCTTTTTCACATCCTTACCCAACACTTATTTTCTATTTCTATGATGGTACCCATCATCATGGATGTAAAGTAGTATCTCATTGTTGTTTCAATTTGCATTTCTCTAATGATTAGTGATGTTGAACATCTTTTCATATGTTTGTTGGCCTTCTGCATATCTTCTTTGAAAAAACGTCAATTCAAGTGGTTTGCCAATTTTTTTTTTTTAAAGATTTTATTTATTTATTTGACAGACAGAGATCACAAGTAGGCAGAGAGGCAGGCAGAGAGAGAGAGGAAGGGAAGCAGGCTCCCCGCTGAGCAGAGAGCCCGATGTGGGGCTCAATCCCAGGACCCTGGGATCATGACCTGAGCCGAAGGCAGCAGCTTTAATCCACTGAGCCACCCAGGCGCCCCATGGTTTGCCAATTTTTAATCAGGTTTTTTTTTTATTGAGTTGTGGTAGTTCTTCATATATTATAGATATTAATCTCTTATCAGATACATGATTTGCAAATATTTTCTCCCTTACATGGGCTATCTTTTCACTGTTTTCTTTGATGCACAAAAAGTTTTAAGAGATAGTTTTAAATTATGACATAAACAATGTTTTTTATTTTTATTTTTTATTATTTTTTTAAAGATTTTTATTTATTTATTTGACAGAGAGAGAGATCACAAGTAGACGGAGAGGCAGGCAGAGAGAGAGAGAGGGAAGCAGGCTCCCTGCTGAGCAGAGAGCCTGATGCGGGACTCGATCCCAGGACCCTGAGATCATGACCTGAGCCGAAGGCAGCGGCTTAACCCACTGAGCCACCCAGGCGCCCCTAAACAATGTTTTTTATCTCTCTGATCAAGAAAACACAATCCATTCATCCCAACAACTTGTACTTAATAAACCAATAAATCATATCTGCTAAATACGGAAACTACAGGAATTGTTGCGGGAGGAAAATCTTTAAAAAAAAAAAAAACTACTCTACTCTCTGGATGATCTAAATTTTCTTCTCACTGCCACAGGACATAGCAAAGATCTATCAACTTTGGGCAGAAAGTGCTTTTGGGAGATAGGTAAGTCTCACAAAAGCTGCAGTTAAACCAGTTATTACATTAGAGTCAAAATTTATACTGCTCCTTTACCGGCTGTAAATCCTCAACTAATCCAACCTCAAGAATTTTCAGATTTTGAAATTAACAGGAGAGCAGAAGAAGAATGGGCAAATCCATGGAAATGTAACTGAATTCCAGCTCAAGCACAAATGGTTTGTTCCTAGGACACGAAATATGCTTTAAATCAGATGCTACTAACTCCTAGTGAAAACATGTAACCTAAAGTGAAAAGAGAGACCTTAATTTACATACTAACTTTGAATCTCAAGAATGAGTCTTCTAGATCCTTGGCTGGAAGCAGGTTCCAGAAATGAATCAGAACACAGAGCCCTGGGCCCTATCCCAGGCCTACCGAATTACATTTTTTTAACATAATCTCTAGGCCCACTGTGGGGCTTGAATTCACAACCCCAAGATCAAGAGACACATGCTTTACCAACTGAGCCAGTCCAGACCTACTGAATTGGAATCTTGACCTTAACAAGAAACCCCACATGGCTTTGTACACACATTAAGGTTTAGGAGCACTACTGTGAACACTAGTAACTCTGACAATGCACCTGGAGTTTCAAAGCCTTGATATTATTAAAAATGATTTTTTAGGGGCGCTTGGGTAGCTCAGTGGATTAAGTCTCTGCCTTCAGCTCAGGTCATGATCTCAGGGTCCTGGGATTGAGCCCTGCATCAGGCTCTCTGCTCAGCAGGGAGCCCACTTCCTCCTCTTTCTCTGCCTGCTTCTCTGCCTACTTGTTATCTCTGTCTGTCAAATAAAGAAAAAAAATCTTTTAAAAAATGATTTTTTAGGTGTCTGGAGAATATAACAAAATGACATTTGAACAAATCAATGAAAACATATGATAAATTACAACTTTCAAAAGTAGCATCCACCAAGGAGATTTAGTGCTGACTTATGGATACAGTGCAAATAAGGCTTTCACACACTGACCAGAAAGGAAAAATTCCAACTGCTAAAAAATAAATAAATCTTAAAAAAAGATAAATTTGGTGATGTCTCTCTCAGGTATAATGACCCACTAGGTAAAATGATTTGTGATAGTCTTTTTTTATGGCTGGAGAAAGAACAAATGAACTTATCTGCATATAGTTTGTGACTACTAGATTTTGTGGAAATGAAGACAGTGACTCAGGGCCAGAGCTAACTGAGAAGTATAAATAAGACTAGTGGTGGGGCACCTGGGTGGCTCAGGCGGTTAAGCATCTGCCTTTGGCTGAGGTCAGAATCCCAGGGTCCTGGGATCTGCAGGGAGCCTGCGTTTCCCTCTCCCACTCCCCCTGCTTATGTTCCCTCTCTCGTCTCTCTCTCTCTCTAATAAATAAAGTCTTCAAAAAAAAAAAGAAAAGAAAGACGAATGGTTACTTATATGCCATGCATATGCACAATTCAGTCCCACCAATAGCATTTATAATTATAATTAGGGATTCCAAATTGGAAGAATCCCCAGAACTATTTTATTTTTTAAAAGATTTTATTTATTTATTTGAGAGAGAGAGAGATCACAAGTAGGCAGAGAGGCAGGCAGAGAGAGAAGGGGAAGCAGACTCCCTGCTGAGCAGAGACTGATGCTAAGCTTGATCCCAGGATCCTGGGATGGAGTCCAAAATCAGGCTCAGCAGGGAGCCTGCTTCTCCGTCTGCCTGATGTTCCCCCTGCTTGGGTGCACTCTCTCTCTCTCTCTGACAAATAAAAAAATAAAATCTTAAAAAAAAATCTAACCTTCCTCCCAAATTGAAATATCTTTCCCTCTTCACATTTATTAATACTCACTAAGTCTCAAAAGCTCTCTTGGAGAATTATATTCTCCAGTGCTCTGCGACTACCTCTTTATGGTAGCCAAGTTACAGTTGTTTTCAAGAGTATCTGGTAGGGTTCAGCAACGAGTTAGTAGTGAGAAATATAAGCCTAAATAAAAATTACTAAAATGAGAAAAAAACCCAGATGTCTTTGACAACTTAAGCATTGTAAAACTAAACAATGGCAAGGAATTTACAATATGGACATCCTCCATGCAAAAACAAAAACCGAGGACATATTATGAATGTATGTAACACATATACATTTTAATACACTTATATATGTACTGAATATTTCTGAAGGATACTCAATAAACTGGAAACTGTAGCTGTCTAAGGGGAAGGGCCTAAAGTAGAAAGGAAGACAGGCCTGAACTACACATAACTTCGCACTGTTTAAAAACTTATAAAATATATTACTTTTTAAGATCTAGTTAATAAGACAAATCAAATCTGGACATTCACATAATAAAATAATGGCTTTTTTAAAATAGGGCTTCTTTATTAAATATTTGTTACTCAACAACATAGACCCACCTAGGTAATATTTTCAACTTTGCAAAGGACAAATGGCAGGTTGCGGTCAAGATTATCTTCCTTTCTTTGACTCTTACTGTTTTCCTTACTTAGAAACAAAGCCAAATAATGGGTCTTTAACAGGAATAAATATTTCCCTTCTCTGAAAGAACTCCTCCATCAATGTATCAAAAAGTCCATTTTCAGTGCTCCAGAAGATTCATCATTCAAGGATACAAATTCTAATTCTTGCTCTGTAGAAGTCAACAGGTATGAGAAAGTATGAAAAGTACATTAATGACCCCCCCAATGAATTACACCTTAGCCTCCTAACACACTGACTCAGGACTTGGACAGAAAATTTGTTTTAGCCAATGGAACACTAGCAAATGTCAATACAAAGCAGAGGCTTGATGAGCATTTAGAATGGGACTCGCCCTTCAGATTGTAGACACTGGCATATAAAGAAACTCAGTCTGGGGCGCTGGGTGGTTCATTGGGTTAAGGCCTCTGCCTTCAGCTCAGGTCATGATCCCGGGGTTCTGGGATCGAGCCCCGCATCGAGCTCTCTGCTCAGCGGGAAGTCTGCTTCCCTTTCTTTCTCTCTGCCTGCCTCTCTGCCTACTTGTGATCTCTGTCAAATAAACAAATAAATAAAATCTTTAAAAATAATAATAATAATAATAAAGAAACTCAGTCTGACCTCCTTAAGGATAAAAGACTACAAAGAAGACAGAATAACCATCCAGTCAATCCACAGCATTGTGATAAATAATAAATTGTTGTTTTAAAACCACACAGCAACTAACTGTAACAGAGAGTTTTGGAAATTCTCTGCCCTCTCTTCACTAGAACCATTAAAAAAATGTTTGAAAACTTTATAGGAGGTATAATGGGAAACTTTAGTTTTAGGATAAAGCACTCACCTTAGGCCTAAGGACAAAAATACTGCAAGTCAGAAATATAAAGATCATGAACTAATTTTTAATATCAGTAATCTAGAGAAAAAAATTTAAAATCTTACCTCAAAAATTTACTGTTCCCTTCTCCATCATCATCAAAATCCAACCTGGGTAAAGCCAACAATAAATACTGTAAGCTCACTGACACAGAACACTAAGACATTAAAAATTCTCAACCCACAAGTTATCTGAACACCCACCCAAATGGAAGAAGGAAAACAGGAAGCGGACAGAAGTCAAATGAAGATATGTGACTTCCCCCTTTTACCAAACTGGGCAATCAAAAGAGTCTATGCTACCTAACATTTTCCCAAGTTGGCAGTCCACCTTTACCAAAGTTTTATATCAGAGTACAACCTCTACCAAAGAAACAGGAATCCATTCAAAAATGAAAATAAAATAATTATTAAGTCAGGTCCATTTTTCAATTCTATAGTCTAAACTATGTTACTAGACTTCTGAAACATATTCCAAAACGGTGATGTTTCAAAAGAGACCAATTTAAGATCTCATAAGGTTACTCATCAATGATTCTTTACATCACACATCTAATAAACATGTGGCATTTGCTACATTAAAGACTTGCTAGATGAGAGGAAAACAAGAGACTTACCCTCAAGGGACTCTCTACCCAGACAAATACAAATACAAAACAAATGAGAATAGGAAAGCACCATGTGAGGAGCATAAGCAATATGCTATAAGACATTCAGTGAAAGCAGCAGTGACTTTCATTTCAGGGGATTAGGGAAGATTACAGGTAACAAGGTAGGCCAATCTCCTATTAATCTCTATTCTACTGAACCAAAATATTACCACCTCATCCCAGTGATCACTCTTGGCATCTCTACTAGCCTTATAACCTAACATTATGAGTCTCTAGATGGATTACATATGAAGTACACAGCGTCAATCCTGAAAATGTTCATTCCTCTTTCTCCCTGTAGCCCCCTAATTACTAGTCAAAATCCACCCAGTAACTCCATGTCTAAGAATCTACCCTAAAAAAAAAGAACTAAAAAGAGAAAAAAAATTTATGTACAAAGATGTTCACTGAGCATTACATATAATAGCAAAATCTTCAAAACAACTTAAATGTCCCAAAATAGGAACTGAGTACATCCCTTTATATAACTTAAAAATCATGCTTTTATAAAATATTTAACAATATGAAAAAAAAGGTTACAGATGGTTAGGTGGAAAGACCAGGCTATATAAAACTATATAATTACAGATCACAACTACTAAGAAGATCTACATATAAAGAAAGAAGAAGTTATACTAAAAAACTTATAGGAGGTGATGGGGTAGTAAGATTATCGCTATTCTTCTTTCTATTTTCCAATCTTTATTTAAAAGAATGCATATTCTTGGGCGCCTGGGTGGCTCAGTGGGTTAAAGCTTCTGCCTTCGGCTCAGGTCATGATCCCAGCATCCTGGGATCAAGCCCCGCATCAGGCTCTTTGCTCGGCAGGGAGCCTGCTTCCTCCTCTCTCTCTCCCTGCCTGCCTCTCTGCCTAATTGTGATCTCTGCCTGTCAAATAAATAAATAAATAAATAAAATCTTTTAAAAACATAAATAAAATAAAAAATAAAAGAATGTGTATTCTTTTAAGGAGTCAATCCCACTTAGAGTTGCACCCAAACTATAAAATACCTGGGAATAAAACTAACCAAAGAGGCAAGGGATCTGTACTCAGAAAACTATAGAACACTCATAAAAGAAACTGAGAAAGACACAAAGAAGTGGAAAAATGTTCCATTCTCAGGGACTAGAAGAAAAAATATTGTTAAAATGTCTATGCTACCTAGAGCAATCTATACATTCAATGCAATCCCTATCAAAATACCATCAACTTTTTTCACAGACCTGGAAAAAATAATCCTAAAATTTGTATGGAACCAAAAAAGACCCCAAATAGCCAAAGGAATGTTGAAAAAGAAAACCAAACTTGTGGCATCACAATTCTGGACCTCAAGCTCTATTGCAAAACTGTAATCATCAAGACAGTATGGTACTGGTGCAAAAACAGACACATAGATCAATGGAACAGAATAAGAGAGCTCAGAAATAGACCCTCAACTCTATGGTCAACTGATCTCTGACAAAACAGGAAAGAATATCCAATGGAAAAAAGACAGTCTCTTCAACAAATGGTGCTGGGAAAATTGGACAGCCACATGCAGAATGAAACTGGACCATTCCGTATACCATACCAAAAATGAACTCAAAACAGATGAAAGACCTAAACGTGAGACAGGAATCCATCAAAATCCCAGAGAAGAACACAGGCAACAACCTCTGTGACCCTGGCCATAGCAAATTCTTGCTAGACCCATCTCCAAAGGCAAGGGAAACAAATGCAAAAATGAACTATTTGGACTTCATCAAAATAAAAAGCTTTTGCACAGCAAAGGAAAACAGTGGACAAAACCAAAAGACAACAGAATGGGAGAAAATATCTGCAAATGACATATCAGATAAAGGGATAGTGTTCAAAATCTATAAAGAACTTATCAAACTTAACACCCAAAGAATAATCCAATCAAAAAATGGGCAGAAGACATGAACAGATATTTCTTCAAAGACATACAAATGGCCAACAGACACATGAAAAAATGCTCAACATCGCTCAGCATCAGGACAATACAAATCAAAACCACAATGAGATAACCACCTCACACCAGTCAGAATGGCTACAATCAATGAGTCAGGAGATGACAGATGTTGGCGAGGATGTGGAGAAGGGGGAATCCTCTTAAACTGTTTGTGGGACTGCAAGCTGGTGCAGCCACTCTGGAAAACTGTATGGAAGTTCCTCAAAAAGGTGAAAATAGAGCTACCCTATGACCCAGCAATTGCATTACTGGGTGCAAAGATACAAATGTAGTGATCCAAAGGGGCACCGCACCCCAATGTTTATAGCAGCAATGTCCACAATAGCCAAACTATGGAAAGAACCCAGATGTCTGTCGACAGATGAATGAATAAAGATGTGGTATATATGTACAATAGAATAGTATGCAGCCACCAAAAAAAAAAAAAAAAAAAAGCAAGCATTTGCAATGATGTGGATGGAACTAGACGGTATTATGCTAAGTCAAATAAGTCAATCAGAGAAAGACAATTATCATATGATCTCACTGATATGTGGAATTTAAGAAACAAAACAGAGGATCATTGGGGAAGGGAGGAAAAAATAAAACAAGATGAAATCAGAGAGGGAGGCAAGCCATAAGAGACTCTTAATCATAGGAAACAAACAGGGTTGCTGGAGGGTTGAGGGGTGGGAGAATGGGGTAACTGGGTGATGGACACTAAGGAGGATATGTGATGTAATGAACACTGGGTATTATATTAGACTGATGAATGACCGACCTCTACCTCTGAAACCAGTAATACATTACATGTTAATTAACTGATTTAAATTAAATTTAAAATAAATAAAAGAATACATATTACTACTTTTAATATATTTTCCTGATTACCAATAATACCTATTCATTTTAGAAAATCTGAAAATAAAAACAAAAGTTTCCATAATCTCATCATCCAGAAATTTGGTAAGTATCCTTTCAGTTTTGCTACACACACATTACACAGATTTATTTCTGACAGAGTAGTATGTCACAAAAACTGTAACCTCCCAACATACTGAGAACATTTTTCTATACTGATATATATTTGTCACTTCCAATAGCTGTATAGAATTCCATTTCAAATAACTATAATTTACTCACCCAATCTTCTAATTTTGATATTTATAGTGCTTCTAATTGTTTACATAACCATAACATTGTTGTTTAAGAGAATGAAGTCTAAAACCAACCTCCCCAGATTCATATCAAACAATAAATTAAAATGTATAAAACTCTTGGACACAGGGGCACCTGGGTGGCTCAGTGGGTTAAAGCCTCTGCCTTCGGCTCAGGTCATGATCCCAGGGTCCTGGGATCGAGCCCCGCATCGGGCTCTCTACTCAGTGGGGAGCCTGCTTCCTCCTCCCTCTCTCTGCCTGCCTCTCTGCCTACTTCTGTCAAATAAATAAATAAAAATCTTTATTTAAAAAAAAAAAAAAAACTCTTGGACACATAGCAAGTCTTAGTATGTTACTCATGTTACCAAATAAACCCAAGGATCGCGCCTGCGTTATTATTAGCTGGTGAAATTAAAGACTAGCTATATTAGCTACAGAATTTTTCTTTTTGAGAGAGAGAGAGAAAGCTAGCATGAATGTGTGAGTTGGGGGAGGAGAGAGAGAGAAACAGAATCTCAAGCAGGCTCAGGCCCATTGCAGAGCCCCATCTCATGACCATGAGATGACGACTCAAGATGAAATCAATCTGGACACTCAACCAACTGAGCCATGCAGGTGCCCCTTAGCTACGTAATTTTTTAAAAAGAAAACAAAAGGGGTGCCTGGGTGGCTCAGTGGGTTAAAGCCTCTGCCTTCAGCTCAGGTCATGATCCCAGGGTCCTGGAATCGAGCTCCACATTGGGCTCTCTGCTCGGCGGAGACCCTGCTTCCTCCTCTCTCTCTGCCTGCCTCTCTACCTACTTGTGATCTCTGTCTGTCAAAAAAGTAAAATCCTTTAAAAAAAAAAAAAGAAAAAGAAAACAAAATGAGAAATTTAACAACAACAAAAAAAGTGGACAAACTACTACTCATTCTCCCAGGCCTTTTTTTTTTTTTAAAGATTTATTTATTTACGTGCAGCATCTCAGTGGCTCAGTCACTTGCACGTCCGACTCTTGGTTTCAGCTCAAGCCATGGGTCATGGGATGGAGCCCAGAATCAGGCTCACAGCTCATCAGAGAAGAATTCTCTCCCTCTGCTCTGCCCCCCATGCGCACACACTCCCTCTCTCCCCCAAATAAATAAATCTTTATAAATAAACAAATCTCTTTAAAAAAGAGTAATGCACAAACTATACTAATAAAAAAAATCTTAAAAGCAGCAAGACAAAAGAAGTCCTTAACTTACAAGGGAAAACCTGTAAGGCTACTGAGGATTTCTCAACAGAAACTTGGCAAGCCAAAAGAGAGGCATGATATATTCAAAGTGTTTAATGGTAAAAATCTACAGCCAAAAATACTCTCTATCCAGCAAGGCTATCATTCAGAAGAGAAGTGATAAAAAAGAGTTTCCCAAACAAAAATTAAAGGAGGTCGTGACCACTAAACCAGGCCTGCAAGAAATATCAAACTGGACTCTTTGAGCGCAAAGCAGAGACCAAAGGTGACAAAGACAAGAAAGGATCAGGGAAAATCTCCAGAAACAACAAAAGAATTATAACAAAATATAAAATAGTTATAAATACATATTTATCAATGATTACTTCGAATGAAAATCGACTTAACATTCCAATCAGACAATACAGGGTGTCCGAATGGATTAAAAAAACAAGACCCAGGGACGCCTGGGTGGCTTAGTTGGTTAAGCAGCTGCCTTCGGCTCTGGTTATGATCCCAGCATCCTGGGATTGAGTCCCACATCGGGCTCCTTGCTCAGCAGGGAGCCTGCTTCTCCCTCTGCCTCTGCCTGCCACTCAGTCTGCCTGTGTTCACTCACTCTGACAAATAAATAAAAAATCTTAAAAAAAAAAAAAACAAGACCCAACTATATGCTGCCTACAAGAGACTCATTTTTTTTTTTTTTTTTTTTTTGACAGACAGAGATCAAAAGTAGGCAGAGAGGCAGGCAGAGAGAGAGGGAGGGAAGCAGGCTCCCTGCTGAGCAGAGAGCCCGATGCGGGGCTCGATCCCAAAACCCTGAGATCATGACCTGAGCTGAAGGCAGAGGCTTAATCCACTGAGCCACCCAGGCGCCCCAAGAGACTCATTTTAGAACTAAAGACACCTGCAGATTGAAAGTGAGAGGGTGGAGAAACATCACACAAATAGATGTCAAAGAAAGTCGGAGGAGCAATACAGAGACAAAGTAGACTCCTAGGTTCTTGCATTCTTTTAATCCTGCTTTGGTATCAGGGTAGTACTGGCCTCATGGAATGACTGTGAATGTGATCTCTCTATTCCATTAATTGTAAGATTTTTATAAAAGATTGTCATTATTATTTTTAAAATTTTTGTGGGGTTCGCCAATGAAGCCATGTGCCTGGTTTTTTGTGCTGGGAAATTTTTGATACCTAATTCAACTTTCATTCATGTATTGGTTTAAGAATATTTTCTACTTCTTAGATTCAAGATTCATGATTGAATCTTGGTAACTTGTGCATTTTTAAGAAGTTACTTTTTTATCGGGTTTGTCAGTACATAATTATTTATAGTAATCTGTTATCACACTATATATTTCTATGGTTATCTATTGTATTGTTTCCCTTCCATTTTGGTTCTCATTTTGGTTTTTGAGTCTCCTTTTTTTCTTAATTCATTTAAAGCACTGCTAATTTTATTTTTTTTGTAAAAACTGGTCACTACTTTCTTTTAAGACTTTATTTAGTTATTTGATACAGAGAAAGAGAGATCACAAGTAGGCAGAGAGGCTGGCAGAGAGAGAGGGGGAAGCAGACTCTCTGCTGAGCAGGGAACCCAAAGCAGGGCTAGATCCCAGGAGACTGAGAACATGACTTGAGCCAAAGGCTTAACCCACTGAGCCACCAAGGCACCCCTCGTCACTACTTTCAATGTTATGTTATTGTTTATTCTGGTCTCTTATTTATTTCTGACTTTTCTTTGTTATTTCCCTCCTCTACTGAATGTCAGCTGTTTATTCATTTTCTAGTTCCTTATGCTATAATATTACCTTGTTTATTTAAGTTCTTTTATACAGACATTTATAGCATAAATTTCATTCTATCATCTGTTTTCACTGTATCCCATAGGTTTTAGAATATTGTTTTGTTTTGAGTCATATTTTGACTTGCTGTTTGATTTCTTATTTGGTCCACTGCTTGTGCAGTAATGTGTTATTTAATTTTCACATATTAAATTTTTTTTAGGATCTTATTTACTTGACAGAGAGACAGCCAGATAGGGAACACAAGCAGGGAAGTATGAGAGGGAGAAGCAGGCTTCCTGTCAAGTAGGAAGCCCAATGCCGGGCTTTATCCCAGGGTCCTGGGATCACAACCCAAGCTGAAGGCATATGCTTAATGACTGAGCCACCGAGGCACTCTACATATTAAATATTTCATATTTACATTGCACATTTTCCACCTTTATTGTTGATCTTTAGTTTTGTACCACTGTGATTGGAAAATACACTTGGTATGATTTTGGTCTCTTAAATTTGTAGTATTTGTTACACTACTTTTTATGTGATTTAACCAGGGGTTTGTTCTGTGTGTACTTGAAGAAAACGTGTATTCTATTTTTCTTGGATGGAATGTTTTTACATATATCTTTTAAAACCATGTATTCTAAAGTATGCTTCAAATAAGAAATGCTCTTGTTAAAAGAAAAAAAAACTTTAACTGAAGGTACTCATTTAAAATAAAGCACATCAGAGGGAAGTTGGGGGGGGTGGGTTAAATAGGTAAAGGGAATTAAGAGTACATTTGTCATGATGAGCACCTGAGTAGTAATGATGTATAGAATTGCTGAGTCACTGTATTATACACCTGAAACTAATATAACTCTGTATGTTAATTATACAGTAATTAAAGTAAAAATCTTAATAAAAAATAAAATTTAAAATAATTTTAAAAAAAAACCCTACATATAAGAAACTAAAATAAAAAACAGTATTCTGTATAAGGAAAAAATCCAGTGACTAAAGAGCGGTATCTGACAGCACTGTAGTTAGTAACCAGCTGAAATGAGAGGACTGGGCATAGCAAAGAGGATTCAGCCACTACTAAATCAGGCTGGCTTGTAGGAAAGCCATTCATGATACAATACCCAAACTCACCCCGGTCGCCGCTTAATAGCCCTGTGGACAATGGCTCCTCCACCTTGAATCCCAGGTCCAGGGTTTCCTGAGGCAATGGCTGGACCCAGTGATGGTACATCTGATGTCATTTCTATCAGAGAAAAATAGAAATATACATTTAAGAAAGACAGTCCTTTCTTATAATCATCATCATCACCGAGTTTGCTTGAAGAAAGGCTCAAGGTATAGACGAAATCCCAGCAGCTTGCTAGAAAACCCAAATGCTCATATCCAGATTGCTCTTCTTGAATTCTTACACTGGCGAAAGCATACATTCCCTGTACTTCAGTTTCCCCTGCTTCACAGAGTTTGGAAGAGAGAGTACTATATTCTATCTGCAGCCTTCATTTTTTTTTTTAAGATTTTCTTTATTTACTTGACAGAGAGAGAGATCACAAGTAGGCAGAGAGGTAGGCAGAGAGAGAGAGAGAGAGAGAGAGAGAGGAGGAAGCAGGCCCCCCGCCGAGCAGAGAGCCCGATGCGGCACTCGATCCCAGGACCCTGAGATCATGACCTGAGCTGAAGGCAGAGGCTTAACTCACTGAGCCACCCAGGCACCCCTGCAGCCCAAAAGCTTGTGATAGTGACATAATGCTGATCTAAAACACACACACACACAATCAGTTTTATACATTTTACTCATGCAATATACATAAAACATAACTTATTTTATTTATATAAAATAAGTTATCTAAGTAACTTTCTTATGTATTTTATTTAGAAAATACAGAAAAGAACCCAAAATAAATGGAATTCTAACTCCAACTAGCAATAACAAAGCAATACTCTCCTTTCCTCTCCCAAAGTGGCATCAGTGAAAGCTAACTAAAACAGGTTTAAATAAGATCCAGGCATCTGGGATGCTTGGATGGCTCAGCCAGTTAAGCATCTGCCCTCGGCTTAGCTCATGATCCTAGGGTCCTTGCTCAGCCGGGAGCCTGCCTCTCCCTCTTGTCTGCAGCCTCATCTGCCTGTGCACGCACCTGCTCTCACTCCCACTCTCTCACAAATAAATAAAATCATAAAAAAAAAAAGATCCAATATCACACAGTACAAAAATACTCAAATACAAAAATATTCAAACTTTAATTTTAAGAAAGAAAATCACTCATCGTACCAAGAACCAAGAAGATCTCAAATTGAATGAAAAATAACAATGATATGACATAGATGTTAGAATTATCTGACAAAGACTTTAAAAGAAGTCATGATAAAAATGCTTCAATAATTATTAATACAGTTGAGGGGCACCTGAGTGGCTCAGGGGGTTAAGATGCTGCCTTCGGCTCGGGTCATGATCTCAGGGTCCTGGGATCGAGCCCCGCATCGGGCTCTCTGCTCAGCGGGGAGCCTGCTTCCTCCTCTCTCTCTGCCTGCCTCTCTGCCTGTTTGTGATCTCTCTGTGTCAAATAAATAAATAAAATCTTTAAAAAAAAATTTTTTTAAATAATAATTATTAATACAGTTGAAAGCCTCAACAAAGAAACAGTCTCAACAAAGAAATAGGGTATAAAGAAGAATCACATAGAAATTTTAGAACTGAAAAATAACTGAAATAAAAAGTTAAGTATATTGATTCAATAGCAGAATGGAGAGAACAAAGAGAAGAATCAGTGAAATGGAAGACAGAACACTAGAAATTACACATTAGAATACTAGGAAAGAAGAGAAAGAGGGCAAAGCTGAAAAATACTGTCTGAAAATTTCTCAAATTTGGCAAGAGATGTAACCTACAGATTCAAGAATTTGAGTAAACCCCAAAAGGATAACCTAAAGAATTGCATTCCAACACAGATCACAAACGTCTAAAAAACTAAAGATAAGTTTTGGAAGTAGCTAGAGAAAAATGACACCTTACCTACAAAAAAAAAAAAAAAAAAAAAAAAAATTCAAACAGCAGATGTTTTATCTGAAACCATGGAAGCAAAAAGAAAGTGGCACGATAGCTTTTAAGTTTTGGGGAAAAAAGAACTGTCAACCCAGAATCCTGCAACCAGTGAACAGATCACTTAGGAGTGAAGGGGAAATCAACACACTCTGATGACATAAAACTATGGAGAACTTGCAACCAGCAAACCTATCCTTAAAAAATGGCTAAACAAAATTCTCTAAACAGGGAAGAAATTATAAAACAAGGAATTTTGGAACACATCAATACATATCAAGAAATAAAAAAGAACACAGTATGCAAAAATATGGGTAAAATCCATAGGCTTTCCTTCTTCTTTTTGAATTTTCTAAATTACATTTGCTGGCAGAAGCAAAAAAATACAACACTGTCTGACATGTTTCTGAACGTATACAGAGGAGATATTTATGACAATTAAATTACGAATGGGGATTATAAAGGGAGGTAAGATGTTAACACTTAAAGTGGTAAAATGACACCACCCACAGACTGTGATATTATATTATATAATGCAATGCCCACTCCAGCAATTACCAGGAAAGCTATACAAGGAGGTACACCAGCAAACATTACAGATAAATCAAAATGCAATTCTTTTTAAGATTTTACTTTTATTTATTTTAATTTTTTAAGGTTTATATAAATATTTTGGTAATCCCTACACCCAATGTGGGGCTCAAACCCACAACCCCAAGATCAAGAGTCACATACTCTTCCAGCTGAGCCAGCCAAGCACTCCTCAAAATGGAATTCTAAAAAAATGTTCAAGGGCCCCCTGGGTGGCTCAGTGGGTTGAGCCTCTGCCTTGGGCTCAGGTCATGATCTCAGGGTCCTGGGACTTAGCCCCGCATTCGGCTCTCTGCTTATCAGGGAGCCTGCTTCCCCCTCTCTCTCTGCCTGCCTCTCTGCCTACTTGTGATCTCTCTGTCTCTGTCAAATAAATAAATAAATAAATAAGATCTTAAAAAAAAAAAAAAGTTCAAATAACCTACAGGAAGGCAGAGAAAAATATAGAGAAGCAGAAACCAAAACAAACAAATGAAAAAGAAAACAGCAGACTTAAGCCCTAACATAAAAAATTTATTAAATGTAAATGGTCTAAATATACCAATTAATAAAAAGAGATTAGCAGAACAAACAAAAAAATATGACCCAGTCTACAAGTTGCTTCATATGTAACAGTAGAGACAGGTTGCAAGTAAAAGGATGAAAAGACATACATCATATAAACACCAAACAAAAGCAAGAGTAGCTATATTAATAATAATCAGATAAACTCCAAAGCAAATAAAATGACCAGAAACAAAGCACATTATATAATATGCAAGCCACCAAGAAGACACTTGGCAGCTATGCACTAAACAAGAGAGCTGTAAAATCTGTTAAACAAAAACTGATAAAACAGAAACAAGAAAATGATTGTAGCTGAAGACTTCGACACCCCTTATTCAACTAACAGAACAATTAGAAAATTGGCAAAGACATAAAAGATCTCAATGACACCCTCAACCAACAGGATCTAATTAAGATTTACTGACTCTACCCCATAATAGCAGGTACACTTTCTTTTCAGGTGTCCCCAGAATATAAACCAAGACAGATATATCCTGGACCATTAAGCCTAAACACATTTACAAGAATGAAATCAAAGCTTATACTCTCCAACTAAAAGGGAATAAAACTAGAACTCAGTAACAGGTAACAGAAAAATCACCAACATTTGGACACTAAACGACACATTTCTAAGTAATCAATGAGTCAAAACAGAAGTCTCAAATGAAATTAAGAAAACACAGAACTAAAATGCAAATTAAAATGCAAGATAGTTAAAATTTGTGAAATGCAGCAAAAGCTGTACTCAGAGAAAATTTTATAGCACTAAAATGCTAACACTGGAAAAAAGGAAAAGTCAAGTCAATCATCTATACTTCTGCTTCAAGCACCTAGAAAAAGAACAAAATAAACCCAAAGCAAGCAAAACGAAGGAACAGACAACATAAATCAATGAATTTGAAAACAGAAAAATACTTTAAAAAAATAAAATCAAAAGCTGGTTCTTTAAACAGATCCCCAAAATGGCAAGACAGGGAAAAACATAAACAAAAACAAACACACAAAAAACTACCAATATCAGAAATGAAAAGAGAAAAAATAAAACGAAAAGACAGATATCACTACAGACCTCAAAGAAATGAGAGAGAAGTAGTAATACTAGGAGTGACTTACAAACATAAATTTGACAACTTAGACAAAATGGACCAATTCTCTGAAAAAACACAGACCCGATACAAATCAGATGATGGAAATGACCCCATAAATATTAGGAAATTGAATCCATAATTTTTTTTAAAGATTTTATTTATTTTCTTGACAGAAACAGCAAGAGAGGGAACACAAACAGGGGAAGTGGGAGAGGGAGAAGCAGGCTTCCCACCAAGAAGGGAGCCCGATGTGGGGCTTGATCCCAGAACACTGGGATCATGACCTGAGCCTAAGGCAGATGCTTAACAACAGAGCCACCCAGGTGCTGCTGAATCCATAATTTTAAAACTCTCAAAAAAGATATCTCCAGGTCCAGAAGGAGAATTCTACCAAACATTAAAAAAATTATTATCAGTTCTACACAATCTCCTCCAGAAACTGGTTGAGAAAGAAGACACCAATTTTTACGAAGCCAGAATTACCCTGGTACCAAAACAGACAAAATCAGTACAAAAACAAAGCAAACTGACAAAAAAAACTAGAGATCAATATTCCTCATGAAAACAGATAAAAATTCTTAATATTAGCAAATAAAATTGAGCAATATGCAAAAGAATTATATAACATGACCAAATAAAGCCAACTGGCTCAATATTTAATAATCAACATAATCCACCATATTAATATGTTAAAGAAGAAAAATAACATGATCATATCAATTTAAGCAAGAAAGCATTTGATAAAAACCAACACTCATTCCTAACTTAAAAAAAAGATCAGAAAAATAAAAAGAGGGAAATGTCTTCAACTTGAAAAAGAATCTATCCTTCCAAAAACCCCGAAACAACAACAGAAAAAAAAAAGAGAGAGAGAGAAAGAAAAAAAGGCCTCAAGCTAATATTATACTTAATTGTGAAAGACAATCCTTTTATGATTGGGAAGAAAGCAAGAATGTTCCCTCTTATCATTTATTCAAACAT